CATGCATAAAATCAAAAAAAGTATCTTTTTTTGTTATCAAATAAGCACCAGTTAAAAAATCCTGAGTTGCGGCAATAAGAAGTTCTCCGTTCCTTGGTGTTACCAAATTGCTTTTGTTCTGTAATCAAATTAAGTTTTAATAAATACAGTTGCATCTCAAACAACTAAATACGCACCCCCATCAATATTAAAGCTTCGGCTTTAGCCTCCTCCGTTTGGGGTAAATGCAAATTCATTTCATCTCCATCAAAATCAGCATTGTATGGATTGCACACGCACTCGTTGAACCTAAAGTGAACATCGTAATTAGAGCGAATAAATTCGAATTAATGTCATGTCATGCCTGAAGGTCCTGTTGTTGTGAATCTTTGCTCTATGCGCCATAATTGAGAGCTTATGTAGACTAGGTTGACGGTTGAACAAAACGATATCATCATTATGCAAGTGTCTTTCAATCAAATCGCCGAACTGTAACAAATCCGTTTTTAATTAAATACAAGCGCTCGACTTAATAACAGATCAATCATCTCACTCTCAACTCTTGGGCCAATTTCTCCCTATTGCCATACTTCAAGTACTTCTTAAAAGCCCATCCTTTCTGCTGTACATAATTCGCGCCAGGCCAAACGTCCGGCCCGTTCATAACCAATCTCTTCATTAAATTTATATTAGCATATGTAACTCTCTCGGGAAATGTTAATATTTTAGCGACGTGACACGGGACTCCGACCTAGCAAGTAAATAATTAAAATTCCATCGGTTTATTCAGTTCACGTCTATCTATTACCTGATCAATTTCCAAGTTAGGATCTGGAGAAATTACGGTACGCGATGAAAAGTCGACACGTTTTCCAGAAAGATTTCCTCTGAATCGACCCTGCTTTCCTTTCAATCTTTGAACTAAACCGCGACCCGGTTTCTTCGGCTAAAAATACGATTATTAATACTAACAATCTAAAAAAATAGCAACAGTTTCTAACCATCATAGATAATGGAACTCCTGATAATTCACTGTTAATGTAAAGAGCTGTTTGAAGTTGCAAAAAATCCCATCCTTCTTGGTACATGTTTACTGTAGCCCCAGATAATTTATGTTTCTTTATAACATCATTTATGAAAATGATTTCAGATTGCTTCATAGTCAAATCATCTTCGTTTCTAAAATTGCACATTTCATTTAATATTAATTTAAACTAAAAAAAACAATAATTACTTACGTTCCGGCTTTCATATCAGAAGCAGCAGACGGCCTAATGCAGACTGGAGGAACCAACATTCTTGTATAAATTAAATCTTTCGGTTGTGATCTAAAATCAAAATAATTATAAACTATCAAGTAAATACAAATCTCTCGATAATACCTCTTAGAATCCATAGCTAGTAATGGAATATCATGTTCTGGTATTCTTTCAAAAAGCTTGAGAACATCGATGGGCGTTAAAATCTGTAAAAACGTTTTAACAGAAATTGCCGATTGAAGATCGGGATTCGCTTCAATCGCAGCTTTGAATTCAGCCATTTGTCCTACAACAGCAGGATCCGTATCCTTCTTATTACGAAATTTCTCGTGAACAATTTTCAATACACCTCCGCCAGTTCCAGTTTTACTTGCAGTCAATTTCTTAATAACACCATTGATATCCTTACATCTCAAACATTTGTTGATTTTCTTGCATTTATCAATGATCTTCTTCCGTATCACTTTTTTAGTCATGTAACTTAGATGGGGATTGTTCAATTTGTTCCTAAATGAGGCTTTATCAGTTTCATTCAACAGCAATTGCCCACATCTTTTGCAAATACATTGCAAGATTGTTATAATACTCTTGAAGTAACCTACATGAAAAACTGGTAATTCCAAATCTATATAACCAAAGTGACCAACACATTCGTTCAAGTTCTTATTACAGGTTTGACATGGGGAGTCTTGAGCATTCGTTCCCTAAAATAATATAATTAAATACTAGTTATTGACACTGAATATATTGCTATTAATTTACCAATCGTTTGTCCAAGACACCATACGGAATGGGACTCCTTTGTACATCCTGGTTATACAAATTCTTGGCGACTACATGCAGATGGGCCTGCTGCTGCATACTCTCTGCACTTTCCACCCCAAAACTTACATGGGATCTACAAAAAAATTCACATTGAATTGTCTAGCAATTTAACACCAAAATTCAATTTACATTTTTCGGGCAACATCCGCCTCTCGATATTGTTCCTTAGGCATTTTTCCTTAGTTTATGTTCACTAATAATCGAGTATAAACATCATAACCTGATCACAACTCACAACACTGCAAAAAACGCATGTATGTTTCAAATACCAGACGTACCAGACATATTATGTTACTATTATGTTTACCAGCCTGTTTTCGTTCATCTCAAAATTCTTTAAGTGCCGCCAACAGAAACACTTCACGTAAATTTCAATTTAAAAATTATTTTATTGTATTTTTTATTAAAAAGTTTGTATCTAATTGAATCTAAAACTATTATTTAAAATAGAAGCTAAAATAAATAAATATCGTATATAGTTAAAGTTTCAAAAATATAGCAAGAGACAAAGGTCTCGTTTTACGAATTTAATTTAATTAACGAGTTTAATCCGTTCCAAAATTTCCGGATTTTTACTCGTATAGTGAAACAATTGTAAAAAATGATGTAGTCGTTATGCGAAACATAGCTCTTTAGCGAGTCATTTTTCTTACAATTCATTTTGCTCGTTATGCGAGGTGTTCGTTAAGCGAGGTTCCACTGTATGTGTAATATATACATATTAGTATATTGCTTATATTTAATGTTAAAAATGATGCGACTAGATCAAAGCAAATTAATAATATTTGTAGACATAACTAATAAAGACGGAATCTTTGTAATATTTTTAATAATTATCAATATTTTATAATAAAATATTAAATAGTAGTCAATTAATATTTGATTAATTTAAAGTTATTTTTTGTTAATTATTCGAAGATGGCTAATATATGTTCATAAACTTTCTTATGATCAACATTGCTTATCCCACATTGTTAACCGCTGTTAGCAGTGGATACTGTAGATAGTAGGTTTATCGTTGAATGTTACAGTTCTCGGATGGTTTGCAATACGGTTCAAATCAACTTTCATCGGGCTGACTTTATTTGGTAAAATGGTGCGTCTGAAACTGTTTCGGAAACTCGCAATCCTAGAAATGTTGGCCGTCTTTACGGCCTCGTTGTTCGCAGCTACGTTCAACAATTTGATGCATTTCTCCGGCACTTTTAAACTGGAGATGTTCGGATCCATCTCGATCCATTTCAGCAGTTGATTAATCACCTTCACCTTCTGATCATCCTCCAACTGAAATGTATCATCATTCAATAAAAATAATTTCATTAATTTATTTTTTTGTAATACCTTCTTCAATTCATGCCGTATTATGTACTCATCTTTGCTGGACATCCACGTGATCGTCGGCCTTTTCTCGCTCAGCCACTTGTAATTCCCGACTTCCGGTTGGACTTTGTGCCAATTCTTGGTGTGCTGAATGTACATTATGGTGTATATCTGAAAGATAGTAAGTTAGACTTTGTTCCTGGATTCCGACATATTTCACCTGCTCCACGAATTGCGAATTCATGATGAATGCTTCGTTACCACCGCGATCAATCTGAATAGTTTCATGGGAAATAATGGAAATGTTAATAATGCAAATATTAGATTAGATATTATTGAGAGCGGCCCGAATATATTATAATTAAATATCTTTATATTCACTGTTATTAAAACCACCCAAGAGATAGTGGCATTTTCCTATTGTTATTATTATATTAATCATAATATTATTAAGTTAATCTTTATCATCTTTTTCTATATACAAATTTTATTCATTTTTCACATACTTTTTGTTTAATTCAGTAACTTGATCAAGTATTAATTAAATACTCAATTATTATTCGTTAAGTATTAATAAAACCCTATAAATAAAACAAATAAAATTAATATTGATTCAGAGAATAATCCTTCAATATTTACTAATTATGTTTACTAATCCATCATCAACAGAGCAATAAACAATACACAAATGCAGAACTTAATTATTTTCTATGTTTTTAACATAAGATGTATACAAATTAAACATCAAATTAATTTCAAACATTTTATAGTCATTTACGCAAGTTCGGAGTTTCTACTCAAAAGTGTCAATAATTGAACGTTAATGAAACATTAATTTTTTTAATAAGTTTGTCCTGCATCTATTAGTTGAATAAACATCATTGTTAAGTGTAATCAGAGAGCCAGCATGTACAAAACTGTAGTATCTTATCGTATGATAAGTTCAAATCATTATTTCCAGCGACTATTGTTAAAAAAAAATCGAATTTTTTTCTAAACTTCTGAAGCTACAATTTAGGTTGTTTTGAATGCAAATACTTATGCGTAAGATAAATTCAAAGCAACAAGTATTTTCTTATACCAAACATTATATGAAAATGTCTAATAATAAATATAAATGGATAAATTTGGGGTCTCAATGAGATATTGATCTCGTAACTAGTACGTAATATGCACCTCTGACCTCTCCAGATTGATCGGTATTCTCATCAACAGGTTAATTTGTAAAGCTTTCTATTCACAAAATGGAAAGTTCCATCAGATTAAATCACCGTGAAATAGATAGTTTATGTAACTCTCAATGTAAAGTACAGGAAGGAGTAAAGAAAGGAGACAAGAGAAATTATGTTTTCATTTTATTATTATTATTAACTTATTAAAATTACTTTTTACATAAATAAAATTGTGGAATGGTACAAAATCCGGACTCTGTGACGCAGATAAATGCAGCCATGTGTGTAATGTTGTAAGATGGTTCAGTGTAAATAAAGACTGATTTGTTGGTATTTGCATATCAGGAGAACAACGAAGAGAAAAATAAAAATAAAAAAAATATATTCATATATAATATTGCAACAAACGAAAATCAAATAATAATATTCCACATTGAGACAATATGAGCAATGTTGGTACTTAAAGTCTAATTTTCATCCAGCAATGTGGCATATTGTGAAACGCAAAAAATGAGGGGTGGTGGTTTATCTGTTGTTTCCATATTTATGCCATTCTGATGGACTGGATAATTTGGAAGACTGCAGAGCCGCAGACGACGAAGATGAAGAGGGCCAACAGCCATGGTCCCACTGGGTAGTTTTCCTTCTCCGGTTTCTAAAACAAACATAATTAGATTGAGCAATAGTGGTGAATGCAAGCAGAGCTGTGAAGCTGTTATCAGGCGTTGTTCTATTTGATAATTGGAGAGCGTTAACTCTAGAAGATACAATATGGCACAGAGTGTGTGACTTACCGTTGTTTTGGGTACGTTTCCGCGGTTCAACACGTTCTTCATGGCCTTCTCGTTGGCGAAACGCATCCTTTGCATAGAAGCCATCTTCTCTGTTGGTTTTTGCTGAAGGGGTTTTGTTGCAAATAATAAGTGAAAATGAAAACACTAAAAAAGTGACACGTCCGATAGTTTGGAGTTGTGTGTCAAAAGTAAGCGCCAGCAGCAGTGGAGAAAGCGGTTCATGTGGCTGTGGCTTTACAATATGTTTGACAACGCGTATCTATCAAAGCGCATGATCGAAAACGTAGCACGTACACGTACTTCATTCCTGTCCACAATACTCCTCTTCCTCCACCACCAAATCATGTCCTTAAAATTTTTGCATACTAATTAAAATCCTACTCTTGTTTTACAAACAACCCAAATTGCGCATCGAACTGCAACGATAACATTTATGCAGGTTCCACAAATATTTGTTGTTATCCCCTGGATTGCAAGCAATTCGAAAATTGCTTTTGCGTCATTTTCGTAAAGATTACCCTTTTAGAAAGTGTTGAATAATCAAAACTATCAAGAAATTACGTTTCTAACCAGTTTACATCAATTAGTATTGCAATATTTACGTTATTCCAAATGAAATATGTCACGTTCATATGATAAGTGATTTAACAGTAAATTATTTATAAAGGACCTAAGTTCAATTGAACAAAAATCGATTCATTATTAAGAATAATTATGTTTGTTTCAATATGCTAAATATTATCTATCACCCATGCAAATTACTATCCACAAGATACGTTGTTTAACTTTACTCGTCGCTTGTTTGTACGGATAAATTAAATTCAATATATTAAAGTTACAGTTGATTTTTCAATCTTTCTTTTTATAAAATTGTTCCATATGGAGGATTTTAGACAAATAAATCATTTAATGTCAATTAAAACTATGTTCAATTGCAATTTAATTGTTTTCTAACATTTCTAGCATAATGACCGAGTAAATTGTTTACTTTAGATATCTTCCTTCCCTCCAACTAAGGCTAAATCATATAATACAAAAATGTATCCATTTCAAAAAGGGTCTGCGTGGGAGTAAATGAAAACAGTTTTGACCTTGTGGAAAATACAACAGTTTCTTTATCTAAGTTTTATGATCCTGCCCAAATATTTAGGAGCTGAAGAAGGCTGTTAATCGTCCTTCGGAATATTCCAAAAGTTATTCCAAATAATCACGAACAAGTATTCGTTTGTATATTTGATGGATACGTGAAATATGATATGTAATAATTAAGAGGAAAATGTTAGACCTATAAATGATAATAAATTGGTCGGCTACGACAGTGTTTCAACGACATGTTAAATGGATAAATCGATCAATAAATTACGTTTTAACCTTTATACTTGTGATTCATTTACGTTTCAATTATTATTAGGTTATTCTCAGTTATTATGACTTTCCCAAAAAAAACAATAGCTTTTACAACTCTCTCTCTATGATGACTTAATGCATTGTTTAAAATATCCATTTCATTAAAAAGTCTATAAACTATGAGAATTTAAAAAAGAATAATTCATTTTGAAATCTATACTTTCATTATTTATAACTTTAATTCATTGTTAATTTAATTTTTTTCATATTATTGCTATATTATTTTTTGGAATATCTATCTCAATATTCAAATTTGCACAGAATAATATAAAACAAATGCCTTTTGTATTTTACAAATTGCGCATCAACTGAACGCCGATAACATTTATGCAAGTTTCAATTAGTCAAACGACAAATTGCGTTTCAAAAATTGCAAGTTACGTTCTGATTTCGATAGAAATGTTATTGTTTTTTTTTAGTCCTATTGAAATCTATAACGCAACATAAAAATATAAACAATTAAGACATCGATAATACTCTAAATTCAATCAATGAAATTTTGTTCTTTCCAATATTTCTCACTTTTCAATTTACAATTGTAAGAAATAATTGCAACATTTGTAACTAATTTAGACTAAAAGAACAAAAAGACGTTTGCATTACTGAAACTGTACTTATTCTTTAATTGCGATTCATATAAAATACATATAGGTATATTAATTTGTTTGAAAATAAAAATTTATAATATATATTTATATAATTAGTTGCACACTGTAGTAAAATAATTAAAATATAAACAAAGCACACATATATCATTAAAATAATAAACCAAAGTTCTTAGTGTTTCATTAACCAAAGCAGCAGCGTGCGAGTTTACGAACGTAACTCATGGAGAAACGCACAATGCAAAGATACAATTACGTAATCAACCCGAATAGATCTTCAACCGACCGACAATTTGATAACAATTTGTGAATCTATACTAAAAGAAAATGGAAGAAAACGATTAGTTGGTTAGTCTAATCCGAATAGCAGGAACGCACTATGACTTTGTCGCATCCAGTTAGCTACCGATACCGGTGCAGTACAGTCCGCTAGCGTATCACAAATAAATCTTCAACAGTTTCGGCGTGTTCATAATGATCGGAATTTTTGTAATTGCGATGATAGAACGATCGAGGCTACCGGAAGTGATTCGCACCTTAATTTTGGGCGCAACAATACTGAAGTACTTGAGTTATAAATAGATAAATAATTAGTATATGTACATTGGTTGCGAACAAGCACTGGCTGTGCTTCATCTTCTTCGGACTATTGCTTTATTTCCCGTCTCGTACGGTATACGTTCTCATCTGAAATTATATAATTTCGATAAGCGAAATAAAGTGCATCTGTCTATGATGATGTTGTGTTACTTTTGTTTGGCCAGCAAATGTTTGGACGTATATTTGTTGGTTGTTTTACAGGTGATACTCGACAGGGCACCTGGGAATCTGGAGGCGGTTCCCATGGTACCAACAGCCTTTCGAACTAGTGGCCTGTTCTCCTTCAGTACAATTTGTGAAGTCAATTTCGCAGACTTTGCCAGTTTCTTCGCGGGAGACGGTTCGCAGACTAAAAACAAAACAGAAATAAATAAAACAGTACAGCACATGCAGATCAGTTTACAGGCACTTTAATGCATTAGTTATATGTATATATACAATACAGTTTAATAATAAATACGATAATCACGTCTTTCTTAAGGATGTTATGCTCGAGAATGCATTATGGAATATCTCTACAGCTAATACAGACAAAGATGATTGTAAAATCCCACCTTTAGATAACATATAATCCGCAGCGTTTTTACTGTTTGTCGATGAGCCTAAGATAAACGTAGAGTCCATGTCCTCCGATAGCTTTCTCTTCAACGGTCTTAGATCCTTTTCCACGGTTGTTATATTCGATGATGACGAAGATGTACTCAGTCCAGAATCGGCGTCATCAAAGGTCACATTGCATTCCCCCTGCAATCGACCGCGCAGATCTGTATACTTCTTTCGCATATCGTCCGTCATCATGTTATGTCCATCGAGAATGTAATACCACGGTTGCAGCAGACTGCCCATATTCTCCATAAGAGCTCCTCTGGTGTTCAGCTCGACCGATTGTAATTTATTGATACCTTGCAATTCTTGATACTACAATATAATTCGCATGAGTACAAATTATTGCAATTATTTTATGTACTTGTTAATCGTTAAAAATAAATACAAGTTTACCTGATACTTCATTTTCATATTATCTACTTTACACTGTTCCAGCTCTGCCTGCATTTTCAAGTCAGGAGCTGCCTCCACTAAATTCTGAATCTCCTCCTCAATTCTGGCAATCGTCTTTTCCAAAGAGTCAAGGTCGTAAACGAGCGCATTATTTTGCTTCTTCAGTGTTTCTATTGTATGCACCAGCTTCTTGTGACCCTTTTCCTTCTCTCTAGAATCAACGCAAAAGTCACTCAATCTACTGTTTGTTTCATCTTTAAGATTCAATCTGTAATCTAGAGTGGCGTGATTGGAATGCAATTTTTGATATCTCTCCTGATTCATAATGTATTCATCAAATAATGTCTTAAGTTTGGTAGGCATTTCTGAACTATCCACTACCTCTACCTCCTAAAAGTTAAGCAAAATTAGTTAAATTTAAAAAATATTTAATGTGAAATAAACATACTTGTTTCATTGGTTTGTCATTATTTTTGCATTTTGTGCAGGCAGTTTCTGAACTGGCTGCTGCCTCCTTAAGTTGCAATATTTCCTTATTCAATTCCTCAATTACTTTGATGTAATGGCTTGCATTTAATTCATTATTGACTACATTCTTCTTTACATTAGATTTAATTTTCTTTGCTCTGGTCGCATATTTCAATGTGTTGTAAGTGTCTTCAAAGCTCATAGATGAAGGTGATACATTGGCAATCATAACAGTATGACAATTCCCACCCAAACTGTCCTTAAGTAATCTTGTCAATTTAGAATCTCTGTATGGCACATGTCTTTGGCCATCAGCCAAACTATTGATGCAATTACCTAAAGCCAATAAGCTCTTGTTGATGTTAGCACCTTCAGTGAATCTAGCCCCTTTACAACCAGTAGCAGCTCCTCTTTCACTACCTGCCAAATCTATCATACTTAATTTTGCTAGCCTAGTCTGCCCAGTCTGCTTCACTTTCATACGAATGTACACTTGAAACACAGCATGAGACCTGCTACTCTCTGCATTTGCATCTGTAGGATGTTGTGTTCGATTTTTATTTCCCTTTTCCAATAATTCAAAAAGATCTTCAGGGTTTTCTATTCTTTTCAATGTTATTCCAGCTACCATTACACCCAATTTACTGTCTTCCCTGAGATGCAGTGGAGAACCTTTTGGCTGCAGCAAGTCTTGCACATTTTCATTATAAACCTCTAAATAGCTTACAGCTAACTCAAAATCTCTCTCAGTCGTCAGCTCCTGCTTCTGATGGAACAACTCCCTCATTGTTAGATAAGTTATTCCTGGTGCTCCATTATGTCCTAACATGGTGTGGGTTTTGCCAGCCCCAGTTGCACCATAAACAAAAACAGAACAGTTGCATCCATCCATTAAAGTCTCAATTAAATCTTTGGTGCTATGCACAAAAACCTCCTCATTGTTTGCAATGGGTGGGAAAACCCTGTCGAACAGAAACTTCATGTTCTTGTGAGGTTTCTTGAGCAGATCTCTTCCCTTCTGCTGAACGCCGTGATAAAAGAACGGCGTCGAGTCCTCTTCAGGATCAAACATGAGCATTTGCTCGTCCGAAACTTTGACGACCGTCCTGAAATTTTCTCCAGTCTCTTTGGCATTTTGTGGCCTAACTCTGACAACAACCCTGATGTTAGCACCGGCACTAACTCTTGATTTTACGGCTGTTCCTCTGATCCCTCGTCTCGGCGTCAAATCTTTGCGGTTTTTTACCATTCTCCAACGATTTTTACTTCAGCAATGCCACCAAACAATTTTTTCTTGTGTATATTATAGAATACTGTAGAGTAATTTGTAAATTTTATTTGACACACTAAAATATTGTCCACTTAAAACAATATTTTAAATTTTTCTTTTGACGACAAACTTGATTTTGCTCAACTACAACGACCGTTAAAACAGCAAAACGTCACAACACAAAACCGTTTAAATGCCGCCGATAAAGAAGTTTACAAATATATCGACAAACATTCAGCAACAAGTACAACGCTATCAAAAATAGTATTGAAACTATATAGTACATTGACTATATTATACCCTATAACTATCCAATAAATTAACTATATTATATAAGCTTAATATTTGTTATAAAATATATCTGATTTCAATATAATTTAAACATAATAATGAATTCTCAACCGAAATTCAACTAAATTAAGTGCTACCATCTCTCGTAAGAAAAATAAAATGTTTTATTATTGTATTGAAAATTTAGGACTACATTAACAAATATTGTTTTGTTAGTGTTTTAAACATTGTAGGTTTTGTAATAAAACAAGATGAGAATTGTGTAAATTAATGTTGTGTGTTATTTTACAATTAATAATTTTTATATTTTATTTGTTATAATTTTATTACCAAGCATAAATATTGATATTTCTTATTTTATAAGTAAATACTAAACATAATGACGAAACGATTAGGGCAATCGTTTTATAATGTAAGTTCAAAGGAATTGGCAATAAGTCTACTTGGTAAAATATTAGTTCGGCAACTAGATACTGGTGAAACCTTAAAAGGTAGAATAGTGGAAATTGAATCTTACCCTAGTTCTCAAGACATCTTCTCAAACCAGTATGTAAAATTTATTATTAAAATTACATTAGTAATGATTTGATACATTTAGAAAAGAAAACAATGAACCCATCAAGCCTGGGACATCATTGGTCTGCGTGTCTTATGGACTGTTTTGGTTGAACATATCAAGTAATGATCCAAATGGTGTTGTAGTAATAAGAGCTATTGAACCCATTGTTGGAGTTAAGGGAATGATGACACGCAGAAATAGAAAGTAACTAGTAATGCATACATTCAAAAATAATAGTATTCATAATTTTAGATAGAAAGAAATCCAAGATAAGTAAAGAAACTGAAATTGCAAATGGACCAACAATGCTATGCACTGCAATGGACATCAACAAAATGAATTGCAATATGCTAAATCTGGCCACAGACAAGACTTTCTGGGTGGAAGACGATAGTTTCAACATACCAATTATGGTTGCTACAAGTAGGATTGCTGCACCCTCAGCTAAAGTTACAGAAGTTAATAAACCATACAGATTTTATATTTATCAAAATCCTCATGTTAGTAAACATAAATTGAAAGAGACTGATTAACATTTTATTAAATTATATTTATCATCATGTAATATTATAAATGATCTTTTTAAACTAATTGAATTTAATAAATTTACTATAAAATTTTCCCATTTAAATTATTTTCGCACAGTGTTACCATTTTTGAAATAGACAAAAATGTTTGGTTATTGAAACGTATATTTGATGATCAACTACTTTGGATTGTATGAAAATGAATAAGTGAATAACAGCAAGTTTATTCAATAATGCCTGCAAAATTGAAGCAGACTTTCTTCAATGTGAGTTGTAAGGATTTGGCTATATCCTTGCTGGGTAAAATGTTGGTCCGTAAATTGGATAATGGAGAAATATTGAAGGGTAGGATTGTTGAAACTGAATGTTATCCTGGAGGTGAGGATAAGGCTTCAAAATCTTACATGGGAAGGTAATTATATTACTCTTTGTTTAATTAAAAGTTGTTGTAATCAAATCAAATTCAACAGGAGAACAAAAGGAAATGAACCTATGTACATGGAGGCTGGCACATCTTATGTATACATGACTTATGGAATGTATTATTGTTTTAACATTTCTAGTGCAGAACCTGGAGCTGCAGTGCTAATAAGAGCAATTGAACCTATTGTTGGTGCAGAGGAAATGTTAAAGCTAAGGCAATGCAAGTTGGTTAATAATTATGGTAAAACTGTTGTTTACATTCATAGTTTTTAGGTGGTAGAAAAAGTGTTTCCAAGAAATTGAAAGATACTGAAATTGGAAACGGACCATCCAAGCTATGTACAGCTATGAATATTAACAAAACCAATTGTAATATGCTGAATTTGGATACAGATAAAACATTTTGGTTAGAGGATGATCAATATAATGTAACTAAAATGATATCAACCAGTAGAATAGGAATTGCATCAGCTGGTACATTATGGGCAAGCAAACCATACCGTTTTTATGTTTGCAACAATCCTCATGTTAGTAAACGAGACCAATTGAAGGAAAACGATTCCGTTTCACATACAAATAAATAACATAAAAAGCAATTAAATTTCTATGCATTTCCTTTTACTTTCTATAGTATTAAGTGAAGATTAAGTGAAAATGAAAAAACTTGCGAAATTTGTAACCACTAAATTTTATTATTGAAAAAATGCGATTACACAATTATTAAATAGAAATAACACAATGGACAATCTACTTCTTGTAACCGCATGAACGCCTGCGGCCACGGGCCCTTTCGAATTTACGTCCCTTGGACCTGACGAATGGCTTAGTGTGGGAACGTGGAACTCCTGGGGCTGGTCCAAAGTGCTTGCAAGCTTCACGAGCGTTACGTCTTCCTTGGAGCAAGACAGTCTTGGTGCCAGTTGGGGCACGAAGAGCCAATTGGTCAAAAGTTAAAACTTCACCACCTGAAACAAACATATATTATTTAAAACGTGATTTAAATTGCATTTAATTAGCATTAAGATTGTGTATATGTAGATCATAATCTTAATCATAGAAAGACTAAATTTCTAAGCAATTTTAATATTTGCACAGTTTAAAAAATTATGAATAAACTATTTGTTATAGCAATCTTAGATGTTGTTGTGTGATACAACTTGTGAAAACTATTGTTTCAATTATTTTGAAAGAGTACTTACCAGCTTTCAAAATCCTGGCACGAGCTTTGTCAGTAACACGGAGAGCACAGACAGAAAGTTTGGGCAATTTCCACATTCTACGATCGTCAGTGACTGAACCAACAATAACAGCGGTCAAACCTTCACGTCCTGGCTTCTTCATGGAACGTGCGATTCTGGCCACAGAGATTGGTGGCTTGTTGGTTCTGCTCATAAACAAGCGATTCAAGATGATCTTGTTGAACTTGGAGGATGTACGACGAGCCATATATCTGTACAACTAGAAATAACAACACACTTGTTACATATACAGTAAACACACGCATTTTCGTCGATGTAAACAAAGATTTTACAGTGCGTTTAGCAATAATTTGTTGGAAATATATAATTTGCAGTACTTACTTTTACGAGAAGTCTAAGATAGATATCCTGACTTCTAGGCTCTGTGCGCCTAACCTTACGGTCATGTTTATGGTTAATATCGATACCCTAAAAAGAAAATATTGCTTTAATTGTGATTCACATATATTCATAATAACAAATAGAATTTCAATAATTCTTTAAATTTTAGGATTATTTAGAAAAAAAGAGAAGAAAATTCAACTCCGAAACTCACCATGTTTGACGACTGGGAATGAAAAGAAAGAAAGGAGGGGGCGCCGCCGAACGCTTGTCAATTCACAACTGAATGAAGTTTGGTGTGCTTCCCCAAAATTACACTTCCTACTCTATCCGTGGCGGGAGATTCAAATCGCTCCAAAATTTGAAATACAATAGTAAAAACACGTATTAAATACATATTTTTTACATTGAATTATTTCATTTACTCTTAGGAATATACTTGATACTATTAATTATACTATTATTTAATAATACAATTTATTTTGTATTAAATATTATTTTTGTCGCGTTGGCCATGCTGCTTATCGTTTGCTTGTTAAAAGGCACAAATGTTAGGTTAGTAAAGGACATGTGTTATATTTGTAAACATGGAAAATAAGTCGACTTTCGAAATAATTTTGGGTACTTATGAACAATTCGTTCTTGGATTTTTCTACGATAAAAAGGTATGTTTTTTGTATTATTTTATTAATTATTTTATCTAAATTTGTTATTATTTTAGGCAAATGAATTAACTCAAAGTTTTGCAACACACAGTCACTCTGGCAGTGTTAGATGTGTGTCTTACAACAAAGGAATATTGGCTTCAGGTGGAACTGATGATCATATAATTATATATAATTTAAAAACTAGAAGAGAGCAGTCAACATTAAACCACCACAGCTCCACAATAACATGTTTACAATTCACAAACAAATGCAGTCATTTATTAAGTGGATGTCAGGATGGCTCGCTGGGTATAGTGAGAGTAGGCAGTTGGCAATTGGAAAAATTATGGGAGAAGGCACATAGGGATGTTGCAGTTGTTGACATAGCAGTTCATCAATCTAACAAATTAGCTTTAACACTAGGAGCTGATGGTATCCTGAAAACATGGAATTTGGTAAAGGGAAGAACAGCATACATTATCAATTTGAACAGCAAATGCAAAGATGCAAGGACTCTGAACCTTATTAAGTTTTGTCCAAATTATGAATCATTCTTACTGACTGGATCAACAATGATATACATTTGGAGTTTAGAAAGTGGAGGCCTCATCAAGTCCATAGAAAACAAGTCAAGAGTTGTGTGCTGTGATTGGCTTGGAGAAAAATTGATTGTTGGATATGAGAATGGAAGTATTGGTGTTGTGGATGTTGAATCAGATGAAATAGAGATTCATGAAGCTCACAGCGCGAGGGTAAAATGTCTTGCTGTTATTGAGGATTTCATTGTATCTGCATCTAGTGATGGTAAAATCATTGTTTGGGATAAAGAATTGAACGAAATGACGACTCACAGCGCTGAATGCAGATTCACTTGCATGAGTGTTGTGCTGAATGCGGAAGTTACCGATGCGAGTAAAGTGGTTGAAATATCTGAAAGTAATGATAATGACGTCGACGATGAAGAAATTGAAGCTGTCAGTGAGGAAGAACAAGAAATTAAAGTGAAAAGGAAAAACAAGTCGAATAAAGAAAAAAATATTAAAAAGAAAAAGTTGAAGAAATAAAATGTTAACTGGTTTATGAATATTATAAATATTTGTTGTTATTAATTTGAAACATTCATAAATAAAGTCAATATTTAAGTTATATATTCGTTGTTTTACAAGTTTTATTTACATTTCCTAAATTTCATAGTCGTTTCTGTATTGTATTACAGCGGAACCTCGCCTAAAGAGCATTTCCCATAACGAGCAAAATGAATTCCAAGAAAAATTATTAGCTTAACGAGCGACGTTTCGCATAACGAGTGACGATGAGAAGAAAAGTCCCGGATTGCGCGCCTGCTACATCATTTTTAATATGTTTAATATTATTTAATATGTTTCACTATACGAGTAAAAATCCCGAAATTTTGGAACGGATCCTCTTGAGGTTCCACTGTACTTCAAACAAGTCGCGTAGTTTTAAAACAAATATTTTTAAGGTTTTTGTGTCATTTCTCTTCTATCGAATATCTATCTTCAATATATGTAGTGAAGATCTAATTTAAATGAAATTGCTCAAGCGTATACAAATATTTATTGCATTAACTAATATACAGAAAGTAAATAAAATTAAATAAATGAGGCCGCATTTAGGTTGTCATAGATTCTAGGATATCTATTCATTAAAACAAAATTTGTATTATTGAATCCAAATTCCAATATTTATTTTCTCAGAGCCTAGGCCAGTAATGCCGAACCTTTTGGAATCGGTGACAATATCTGGGAAAAAAGCGGATACACAGACGATGGGAGGAAGATGTTGACTACCAATATATTTATTTATTGGCGTGTCACCCACGTTCACCATCACTGCCCTAGTGTAATTATACCAAATGACCTAGGTGACAATTGGTATTTCAGCCAATATTTTAATTTGCTCAAAATGTTATTGATATAAAAGTTGTAAAATACTGTGGAAATTGTACTTTATAAGTTATGCAATAAATTATTTTTTTTCTAATTAAGAACTACAATATAATACATTTCCTGTGACGGAACACGTTGTGAATCATGGAACACTTTGATTATTTTATAGGATAGATAATCAATCAAATTTAGATTTTTTTAAAAATTTATTTAGCAATTATTTCACTCCAGGATTTCACGAAAAACCTAATAGCTTTCCGCGGAATATAGTTTGGGTATCCCTGATATAGAGGATGATCAGGTTGGGAAAAAATAGAGAAAATATAAATAAAAATACATTTATTATTGTAATATACAAAAGAAATACAAAAATAATGACTAACAGAATAGATTTAAAAAATGGAATACCTTGTTGTAAAAAGAATTTGAATCTGCAACAGAAAATAAAAACCATTTAATAAGGATGACAATCGCAAATAGCAATTATTAAAAGCTGATAAATATATATATTTATATATATATATTCAGAAAAGTTAAATAATCAGGAGACAATCATAAGTCTAGCATGTAAATAGTTGGATCATCATTTCAAAATTGAAATTAAAAAACAAATTTTAATATAATTATGTATATTACCTTGCATGAATTGAGTAATCGAACTGTTAAAACATTGCCAATGGTATTCTGTAAAATGAAAATAATTCGATTAGACGTTGTTAAAAAATTTTCGTACAATTATTATTTTTTTTGTAAATATTTCAGCATCGCAGGACTTGTCATCAAGAGCATTCAGGATTTACATGTCGTATGTCATCATTAAATAGGATTAATATCAAATATTAGTATTAAGAATATAATTACCTTTAATTAGAGATGCCACAACAATATGGGAAATTGCAGGTTGACCTGAAAATAGAAATAGAAAACATTAATTTTATGTATTTCCAAATATGTTTTAAAGTTTTATATTGAATTTTTAATGTAGTCAGCATCGCAGGACGTGTCATCAAGAGCATTCAGGATTTACATGTCGTATGTCATCAGGTAAACGTGAATATAATAATAGTTGAATTTAAGGAGTTTTATATATATAAGTACCTTTAAACTTAATAGTCTTTGGAATCCTTGACGTTTGAATAAGTTATAATTCATGTTTACAGAAAATGTAATTACTATGTACATTATCAATATGATAAATAAATTAGAAGGCGTATCGCGTTCTGATATCCTCCAACTTCTTGGACACTTCCGCTGGCGTTCTTTCCAGATCGTTCGCAATGCTCTTCTGCTTGGCCGGATCCAGGGAGTTGTACTGCTCACACAAATCACCATCGATCACATTCTGAAAATGAAACAAACAAGTTAATAAATTGATCGAAAGTTAAGAAATTTAGATGCGTTTACCTTCACGGGATAGTAGTAACTTCTGTACGATAGGTGGTCTCTTCCGCAAAGCGGAGAATTTTCACTGCGCATGTACATCTCGAGATGCTGGAAGAAATCGTGATCCTCGTGCGCGGTGAATGGAACCAACACACCTACTGTGCCCGAAAGGGTAGTATAAATTAAAGATTCCCATCCACCAGGAATCAAAGTGGCCTTCTGAAGTGAAGTAACAGTTTCACCAACATGAAATGTAGCAACGGTATCGGCCTTCTGCGATGCACCATTCAATAAACCCCTATCCCACAGCGCCTTATTCCCAGTAGGATCCTCGTCTACGTCATCGCTTATATTAGGAGGCAATCTTACAATAGCGATGTTTCCAAATTTATCGGCTGTTGCAACAGTATCATAATCGAGGATAGAAGTGCAAGTGATCCACCTCGGATGGGTATCGTCGGCGAAGATGATCAACTGATTTTCTGCGCGTTTGTATCTTATGAGATACACAGACTCTTGTACATCGGCTACGTAAATTCGCTTTCCCATTGCTTGAATATTGACGATAAGATTAGGAATGTGCTTGTTCTCACATTTTCGCAGAAGCTTCTTCTTTCCCAAGTCGTACATTCTAAGCATACGACCAACTCCGGCCAATAAACGTCCATTGTAGGCGCACAAAGCGTAAGGCACTTCGTCAACAGGAGTCCTGTGGATCAATTCTATTTCACGACAGCTCGGATCGACCTTGTAGGTATCGAGATAACCAGCACTGCATTGTCTAGGATTGAGGAAGAGGTCTCGTGATACACCGACAATCAAAAACCATTGATGTTCAGGTTGTCCATGGAATTTGACAAGTGTAAGAGACATGGCTGCCTCATTTTGAACAAATCTGTTGATTTTGTGAGTTGTACCATGAACTGGATCTTGAATTCTTAATGTTGAAGCCCACATTCCATGACCCGCTTTTGGGGCAGAGAATATGTTTTCTGGTAAATCTTCATTAAGGAAAGCGTCTGCCATTTCCTTAGCCAATTCTTGTTCTTCCTCTCCGGCAGCCTCGCGCATTTCCTCGGCCATTTGGAGTCTACGCTGCTTCTTAGTTTCTTCCGTGTATGCATTGTGTTCAGTTTCCAATATGATCAAGTTTGATGTCTCTGGATGTATAACAAACTTTCTTGGAGTGTATTCCAATGGGAAAGAGATTTGATTGAAGACTGCTCCCAACTTTTCCAAAGCCAAAATACGCAAAGTATTTGTGGAGATGGCCACAATGCCTTCTGGACATTGTTCAGAACTGAATCCGGAAGCATACTCTAAGCTCTCATAAGACAGTGGGGTCAGATAGAACCTACTTTGATAATAGTAACTTAACCAAGAGCGACTGCTCATAGCTAAAACTGCCTCTGAATTATGCATTTGTATACGGAACAATTTTACTGGTCTTGATCCCAAATATCTAGTTCTTGTATCTGTCAAATCTCCAGAAACTGGATCTAATACTGTTCTGAGAAGGGCACCGTTCTGTAACCCTATATTCAAGTATAACGAACTCGTGGTACTTGCCGCAGCAGCGTCTTCGGGATTGCGTTCAGTACATCCCATTTCAACAATGCACAAGCTCTCCGCGCATACTGGCAACGCTTGCATTGAACGTGGAGAAAGGCAATCGTTGGGATCCAAAGACATGATACGAACTGTGCTGTCGGCCAAACCCACAGCCAAGAACCAAGAACGCTGCTCTCCTGGTGGAACATTGGCAAGCGCCATGCACACAACATCTGAGTTCATACGTTTGCGTTCTTTATATTCGTGAAGCTGAAATCATTAATAACGGTTAGTTAAATATACTCGAACATTAGAATAAACATATATAATAAATTTTTATATGAATGTACCTATCTTGTTTCACTCCAATATTCAACAAATAAATATCGGAGGCGACAAGAAGGATATAATTTCGCATAGCATTAAATCTGAAAGTGTATTATTTAACATCAAACAGTAGTTATAACTATGCAAACGATAATAAAACGTATAAAATTTAAGAGAGAACTTACTCTGTCCATCTCGAAATACACCAATTCTCCGCCACTAAGTGCAATAACAACTTGTCTCTGGTTGACAGCACACTTGACGATGGTTTTCTTTCCAGGAGCTTTCCATTCATTAACACGTTTATCCGCACAGATTTGTCGAATACCGTCTGGGTAAACCTAAGATACAAATTCATATTATTATATTAAATATAAACGATGATTCAATAATAAAGGTTTGGAGTATTTTGGTGTGGCATTGATTGGGAGAACCATTAATTCTACTATAGAAATAAACGGCACTATGATAATGCATTGATATAGGATTCTCAATAAAGGAATTATCAATATTGAAATAATTCAAAATTCAATTGATAATCCAACACAAATTATTTAATTTTATAATAATCACCTGAATTAAAGCATCATCGCTAAGGGCTGAACACGATAGTGTTGGCGTTGTTCCCAGGAATCCACTGTCTGTAACTTCTTCCACAGTCTCGCCAATAGATAATACCAGTGTAGCGTTAAGAAAGGAAACAATAATATAAGCATCATATTTATCTGTAAAAGAAAATTGCAGTGGTTACTATCAATTCAATAATAGGATATCAATAAAATGTAATAAATGACGATTTATCAGTTTTGTCTAGTTTATAATCAATGGTATTTCAGTTGAAACACGGACAAATGTCATCATTTAATTGTGTTGTAGCAGCCTTGAACCATTTTCAGCAACCATCTGGTGACCTACCTTATTCAAGAGGATCAGGATTTTGTCAGCATTGGATCCTGCAATAAAAAGCAACTGGTGTTGAAAAGTTGTCAACAACCAGGCTTGTTAAATATTCAAGACTACTGACAAAAACTACTCTTTTTAACTTTAAATATAGAAAATAAACAAATCTAAATGTCTATAAATTCTGTCTTACCATCGTTTTTCTTTTTGACTGTCCAGACAGCATTGGGATTTGCTGGTAGTTCAGAAACTGCCATCTCTGATACTTCCAAGCCATGGCGAAGTACTCTCAAAGAACTCCTTGGACCTCTTCCACACAGCATATACAATTGGGGAGTATCTTCTCCAGCCAAATCCGCAACTTTGCAAGATAAAATTGGAGATAAAGATTCCAGCTCATCTACCAATACCAGGTTTCGAAGTGGTCTTGGCGCAAAGAAGAAAGTGTCACCCTCTTCCAAAGGCATTGCTGAACTGAACTCCAATTCATCATCATCATCTCCAAGATGTGCAATTTGGTACAAGTAACTAAAATAAAAAAAATAACAATTAATAATCTTGTAAATGAACTAAGGTATCTTCGTACATCATAATGTGTGATATGTAGTAACAGAATCATAGAGTAATGTACAAGTAATACAATATGGAATGATTCCAGTACATTTATTCTTGCACAGATTCGACCTATACATATATCAGTAATATGTGCAGGAGATACCATAGTGCTTAAATATAAAAAAGAATCATTTATAAAAATCAACTTACTGGTTTCCAAATTCTGAAGCAACAAACAAAAATCCAGTTTTCATAACACACATAGCAGTTGCCACAGGGACTGTATCAAAATATTTCAATTTGATTTCTGTCACCATGTCATCATCAGTTTCAAGTGTTATCTTAAATATATCACCCTGTTCAGTTTGAGCAAGGAAGAAAAACATGGATTTAGTTTTATGTGTTGCAGAGCAAACAAAGATCATTCCTCTCTCAGGATCATCAAGATCATTTCTCCTTCTAGGAATTGGACAACGAATATCAGGCTGATCACCCAGATTTTTATATGTTAAATAATTCTCAGAGCAAATCAAAACTCCAGATGGACCATCTTTGCCTCCAGGAACAGTTACCAAAAAATTGGCATGTTCTTCTAGTGGTTCTGAATATTTTCTCACAACGTGATTTACACCCAAATCTAACTCGTAAAAAGTAAGCGTTTGTTGGGTTTTCTGTGCTGCTTCTCCGGTAGGATCAGAATCGGCTTCCTCATAATCAATTTCCAAGCAAGCAAACATTGGGTTATCATACTCAGCATCCACTCCAACCATGTGGTATACTAATGTATTGCTTTTATGCGCTTCTAGTGGGGAAGATATGGTTAATCGTGCTTCAGAGTCTCTGTTCAAAATAAACACCAATTTCTGTTTTTCAATGCCGCCAATCATAACACCTCGCCCTTTCGGGTCCAGAGCAATATATTGTCCCGGCACGATTCTCCTGCAGCCGGATTTACCGAACGTCTCTTGATGCAATTTGTCGAAGATATTTTTTGCTGGGATATATTCTAATATCACGATTCTTCCTGAATCAGATCCAACTATAATATAATCTTTTGTACCGCCCGTTAAGCGAAAGGCCATAAGCGACCTTATAACGCCGAATATTTCAACGGTCAATACAGTGTGTACTTTTCCTGTATTTGTATCAGGCCTGAGCAACTCCAAGCTCTTGCCTCTGGATATAACAATTTCTTGGATTTTTGTTCCCGAGAAATTGCCGTGGATGGCATGGGTGATGCCGGTCGCCCTTTGCAGCGTTAGGTTATATAGAAACATGTTTGGATCTGCAATAACAGGCCAAGATTAAAAAGTGCTTAATTTACAAACATCGAACTGTATTCAACAACAACAAAGTGACTAAATACGACTCGTATACAACGACGATCAATGATAGAATGCAAAATGTACTTACTTGATTCGAAGATGCAGTGAAACGATCAGGATTTTCGAAGATATTGTTTAAAAATCGAAAGTGCACGCGTCCATATTTGTTTTCAGCGTGGTGTACGATCGGTTACCGCCGCCCAGGTCAGGAAACCTTGTGCCGCAAATAACCCTGGCGACTCTTCGTACAAAAAATAAATTTGAATCTTACAAAAATGTTAGGAACTAGCATAATTGTAATGAATTATGCTTGTGAATGTATACCAACTGGAGTCCAAACAAACTTGCGTGTTTCTTTCTTGGAGTTCGAAAAGGAAAAGAAATTTCAATGAGAAATACGGCGCCAGTTCCACCATCCACATGTGGACCTCGGAGTGGGGGTATGTGCGCATTGAAGTTTGCTTTTATTCAAAATAGAGAAATAGCCTATTTTTATTACATAATATTTTTTTTTATTATATAATTAGATCGAAATTCTTTTATAACGAGCATAATTCGTTCCAAAATTTCCGGATTTTTACTCGTATATTGAAACAATTTTTCCCACATAAACTGATGTAAAATACGGGTTTATATCGCATGCCCGACAACCGAAAGACCGTCTGTTAAAATCTCGACTGTATCAGAATCTCGACAACCATAATCCCGACAATATCAAAATCCCGACTATATCGAAAATTTTTACAATAACATTTTTAAATTATTTTGGTGCGTAGTCACCTTGTGCTACACTTTTATTATTAATAACAATAAATTATCTTCTCATCGACACTCGTTATGCGAAACGTCGTTCGTTAAGCGAGTAATTTTTCTTACAATTTATTTTGCTCGTTAAGCGAGGTTCTACTGTATTGTTTTCTTTCTATCTAAGATCTCACAATTGAAATGTATGGACTTTTGTTTTCGAAAATTGTTTTAGCAAATAGAAAATACTACTGCAAAGAGCTATTGACTACAGGTATTTCTGCCTAATCAACAAAATTAGGCAGAAAGACCTAATAATATTTATTGACCAGACATTTCAAACGTCGGGATTTCAATAGACGGTCTTTCGGTTGTCGGGTTTGCGATTGCCACCGTCTATAGATAGATACAAAATAATAATAATAACTCACAAAATAGGTAAATAAATTCTAACATAAATTAACAAAAACATAATAATTAACAGGCTGGCCAAAGCAACAAAATATTTTGCAAATAAATTAATAATTATTTGTTTCTTATTTTAAATTTGATGGTGCTTGAGAGTAGAAATATTTATATCTTTGTCTTTAATAATAATCTTTATTGCAACAGAAAGGCCACAAAAGAAAATTAAATATTTTCGTTCACAACTATAATAAAAAAACAATGAATTGGAAAGAGTATATTTATTTGTAAATATATCTGCGACTAACACCGTCCCATATAAATCCCATTGTTAAAGATTATTTTATTTATTTCCTTAAGTTAAGGACCTTAACATATTTTTTTTTTCTTCCGCCTTCTTCTTCCCTCTATTCCTTAACATAAAAAAATGCGGTTGCAATCGCAAGCCCGACAACCGGAATACCATCAATGAAATTCCTGACGTTTGAAATGCCGACTGTATCGAAATCTTGACGTTCGAAATCCCGACTGTATCGAAATTCCGACAACCATAATCCCGACTGTATCAAAATTCCGACTATATCGAAAATGTCTACAATAACATTTTAAAATGATTTCGGAGCGTAGTGACTTTTAAATTGTTATTAATAATAAATAATAAAAATTAATAATAATTTATTATTATTAATTTATTATTTATTATTAATTAGTTATTGTAAAAAAATTTCGATATAGTCGAGATTTTGATACAGTCGTGATTATGGTTGACGAGATTCTGATACAGTCGGGAATATAGTTGTCGAGATGTTGATATAGTCGGGATTTCGAACGTCGGTCTTTCGGTTGTCGGGCTTGCGATATAGACCCAAAAAAATGTACCCGAATTTACTATATTTGAATATTATATTAAAAATATAGCAACACATATATTAATCTATGTCTAATTTACCATCTCTTTTTATATTCTTTAATTCATTATCAAGCAATTTATATTTGAGTATTAATGAATTGCTGCCCGTTTGCAAGGTGGACAATGAAGGCTTTCCTGATTTAATGTAGCTAAAGTACATAACGCAGGGATCATTACACACCTGTGTTATCTCGTATTCGACACCCAAATTATTTATTTCTTTTGACATCCTTTTAATTTCTGCAACATAATCGATAACAGAAGTGTTAGGTGAAGAAGTTGTGGCATTTTCCACAATTTCTTTCTTAATTTCCAACGGCTCTTCGATGATTTCACTCTTCGTAGAATATTCATCGATTTTTTTATAAACACGATCCTCGGGCGGCGGTAGAAAATTCCCCGTCCCGATATTGAAGCTTAATTCCGAAAATTTGGCGATAATTTCATCGTCGCTGGAGCTTTCCTTAGAAATCTTCATTTTATGCGGATCGCTGTCTTGAATCCTGTAAAAGAAATACGTTAATATATTATCTTGTGATAACTACGACGGATTATTACAATTCCAACATCTTCTCGGCGGCGTTCTTCTTTGCCACTTTCTTAGTGGTACCTAATCCTTCCGTCACCAGGTTTTCTAGCGCACATTGAATACGGAACTTCCCATCTTTGCTCCCCATCGGATTGTATCGTGCATATTCCATTCGGTTTTGTGCACAGTATTCGTTGACTTTACTGATCGCATCCTTTTCAATGGTGACCCCAGACTTGAATATATTATCTAAGTCAGAGCCACTATCGGAATACTCGGTGTTCGAAATGCCGTCGATGTCACTAAGATTTGAACAATAGCAGGATTCGCCTAGCGGGAAGGGTATATTCAGTAATTTACTTAAGACAGCCTGCGCCGCTTGAAGCTTAGCGTCCTTTTTGTTTGTAGATGTTTCGCTGACTTTAATAGATCCGCAAGTTGCAATACATTCGAACTTGATGCAGGCCGACGATACACTTATTTGTTTAAAATAGTATTGCGGCATTGGTATGTTATTTTTTACGGTATATTCTTGCAGATATCCGATGGCATTCGTAATGTTGTTTAGATCGATGGATTTGGTAACTATTTTCGGTGAAGGTAATTCTTGAAACTCGTTCGTTGTAGATGTATTGCTATTGCTTATGGAATTACTGCAAGATGTGTGTTCCGACTGCAGCTGCCTGTACATATTTTCTGCGACTTTTAATTTTGCACTGGCTTTGGAAGTCGTGATCACTCGAGATGTTACATTGTTAGCGCAAATCCCGTAACACTCGAATTGGCTGGGGGACGAGGGTTGCGTTAAATCTGTAAACTCGTACTTCGGATATGCCAAGCCATGTTGAACAGTATACTCTTGAAGTAAACTAATTGCGTTTTTAGTATTGTTTATTGGTATTGAATTTGCCAAGTCATTATCAACAGTATTGTTATGAAGTAAACCAATTGCTATTTTCGTATCATTTATTGGCGTCGGATTGCTTTCCACGAAACGAAACGATCTGGATCTGATATAGTTAAGTATTTGCGTTGCAGTGTTGGTTTTCGCAACTTTCTTGGAGCCTGCGATTGATGTAAATACAATTCCGTTGCAAGAACCATAGCATTTAAACTGACTTGGTGAAGATGGTTCTGTTATATTATCATACGTATAAGTGGGTATACCAATACCCATTTTTACGGTTAACTCTTGTAACGTACCTATAGGGTTTGACATTATGTTTACACTTTAACCACACTTAAAATTATTAACAGTATGCTTTTATTTATATCAGATGTACATCAGGTTTTATAATATGACTGAGTCATATGAAAATATTGTCGTATTAGTACATCGACAGCTCTTAGCAAGGCGCCACAAGTACAAGCGCCAAATAATATAAATTTTAAAAATGTCTTATAAAATTCCAAACAAGTTCTACTATTATTAACATATAAATTTTTATAAAACCTGCAATTAACCAATGCGTTTTATTAATATCCAAGTAATATTAATAAATAAATGTTCTTCAAAAGAAATAAGATGACAAAAAATATATTTTTTTCTCATTTCAATAATTTCTAAACAATGCAAAAATTAAATTAAAAAAAAAATAGTTGTGAAATAATTTTATTTTCATAAGACTATGTTTCAGTTTTGTTTAAGAGTGTAGTTATTAAACTGGGTTTTAAACAAAAAAAAATGATATAAACAACAGAAGTTGATGTAATTCAAAAACAAATGTTTATACATTAGTACTATACTAATAATATTAACAATATTTATTAAATCTAATGCTCTACAGTGTAGACTCTATACAATATCATATTTTTTCACCATTTCCAAACTTACATCACATTTTAATGTCTGTGGATTTTCATTTTTGGCAAGTATTGAATAATTAATCCTTCCACTTTATATAACTATATTTATTTAAGGTACAGTTATCAATTTATGAAATCAAAGTATCGTATATACTGCCATTGCTTAAATCTTAAATAATGAGCAAAAATACATCACATTGAGATTATGTAGCTTTGTTTTGGTTTAAGCTTCTTTTGGCAGCACGTTTGGAGGCGCCACTCGATTTCCAGATTTGCGAAAATACGCCACGTCTTTGGTCTCCTGATATAGGCAATATTTTTATAACCTACCTTATAAGTGCATGTGCATACCAACTGCATCGATTTAACACGATCATAGACGAATGTATTATCTATAAACCTCAAATGTAACGTAATATGTTTATTTAATGTCTTTTGCTAAGATATTTTTTGGAATTAGGAACATAAACGTGTATGCATTAAGACGCTTAATCGGGCGAATGCTCAAAGCAAACATCATAAATATCTAAAGAAGTATGATTACAATTATTACCGAAATCGAAGAATAACCATAGCAAAATAAATTGTAAAAAAATGACTCGCTTAACGAGAGATGTTGCACATGAGAATATTTTTAAACTTGTGATCGGACATCTTATTTGTGATTTTTGTGTGTGCAAAATTTAATAACAATCATATATATGAAAAGCAAAATCATTGCGACTCCAAGTTATCCTTTATTTTCCAACATTGAACGCATTACCGTATTGTACATTAGTTTATATGGGAAAAATGTTTCACTATACACTTAAATATCGTATCTTAAAATAATTAGTAGTTGAATGAAGTGATTATGAATCAAACATGCGCATGAATTATTTAGTAAACATTTATTTTTAATGCGCCAAGATGAAGACAATATGTTCTTAAATTTATGCTATCTTAATGGTAGAATAATTTTATTTGATATACTGAAAATAAGGTGTACTATCTTGATCATTTTGCTACAGCTCATGTAAAAACACACAATTAAAAAATAAAAGGAGACATGGGATTTTCTAAAAATAAATAAATAAAAAAACAGCAAAGAAATAAGAATGAAGTATAGCTAATTTGTTATTTATACTAATAATAGTTTACTTATTATGAACGTCAGTGTTTTACACGCCAAAACACTGAGTTTTTGTGTACAATTAAGAAATGCAAGTCAATTTGTTGCATACATGTAAATCTTACCCTTCGTCTGATTTTTTGGAATGTCGTCTAGCCTAAAGGAACAGGAGCTGGATTCGTCGCCGGATTCAATTTTATTGCTTATCTTACAAAGGATAACATAAGACCTAAATCCATTTGAGAAAAAAATAAATAAATACAATTTGTACAAATGACGAACATACATACATTGCATCACACACACATTATGCATTAATACAGGTTGATGTGAGCGGCGCAAAACACTAACAATACTATTCTATTATTATGTTTGTTTTTATTAGAATTACATATTGAAATGGAACATTACTTCATATGAAGTATTATTTGGTATGATGCTTCTTTCAATGAGAGCATATGTAAATAAAGTAGTACCTAAGGTTAAAAAAATAGGAATTTTAACAATTAAAATATGTAAGCAAATTTTGCATTGCGGAATCTCTCCGCAAAAGCTTCGTTAGTAAACATCAATATGCAAGAGTTAACTAGGATTTGTTTTTTCTTGCATCGCAAGAAGCGGTAGGTAAGCGGCTTCTCTAACAGCGGACGAGCTAAAAGTTTGTGTCGTATAAAAGAAGCAAATCATCAATCATATTAATTTATTTCGTCATGATTTCTCGTCATTCCAAAGTGCTCCGCTACTGAAAAAGGATCAAAAATGGTATAGAATAATTATGTGCGCTGAAAGAGAAGCATGAAGTGGTTAAGTAAGTTAGTTAGTTGAGTAGTAGTAGTATATATATGCGGCGGCGGCATTTGATAAACTTATTTTTTTTCTGAACAATGTAAACTGTGGATGGATATGGAGGATGATGGATGAGGGTGGGCGAATAATTGCCGTTGTGGGTACGCGGTGGATGGAGAGAGAAAAAAATAAGTACGCAATTGTTGTATTTTTTTTTACATTTATATAAGTAATATTTATTTTAAGAACTATATATTAATACTGTATTACATACAAGAAATGCACTTGTTGGAAACTTACAGAAGAGATATAATAATTTATTTTATATTTTTTAGAGAGTTTCAATATATAAGGGCCATGTATTAACTACTGTACCACTGTAAACTAAACATGACCGAATTTAACAAATTGTACTAGATATTTTTTAAATATTTCTTTTAAAGTCTGCACCATCTTACATCCACGAGACTCTTTAAGAGTATTTCAGAGAGAGAAAAAAAATATACCAACAAAAAACAAAAAACGAACGCAAGTCAGTCATCTTTAAATAATCCTTGACTGAAATATATATAAATATATATACTTTTCTTTATTAAATATTATTATAAAAATCGTTCATCGTTACCATGCGATAGCGCGACAGATCACATTGGAGAATAATGTAGTAACTTCTTTGTGCGTTCGCACAACTGGGGCCGAGAGCACGCTCGAATTCTTTCCAAAACAAACATCATCCAAAAGATAATTACATTCGAGGGCAATTTTGATAACCGGTAAAACGGCTAAATATATAATATATACTTTTTCATATTTTTCATTATTTTAAACAAAAATATAGTTACGATATTTCAGTCTTTAGAGAAAATATCACATTCCAAAAACAATGTTTCCATTTTTATGTCCATCTTTCATTTCATTAACCATGATTTTTTCTTTGATAACATTGCTATCGCGATCAAATGCGCCTCTCGTCTCTCATTTTCAAGTTAATATTATTATTCTGTTTGCTACCGTTACTTGCTAAATATCACAGATTGAATGAATGTAACACGCAGCGGCAGATACGCAAGCACCACGCGTACAACGAACAAACGAGTTAATACTTAATACTAGGTACTTATATATACACAGTCATGTGTTTGATCCGCATAAATATAAATAAAATCAACGTACGAGTCACTTCTTGCACACAAAGACAGGTACACTGTTAAAACATGATAAAACTCTCACACTATACCAGAGCAAACTTCTATATATATATCATCTCACTAAAAATTACAAACAGAGTTTGTTATAAAAAAAATCTGATATCCTCAGCCTTTTTCATTTCTAAATATGGTTTTTAGCTTGTGTTTTTTTTCTTCTTCATATTCATCAATTAACAAATAAATAAATCACAATATTTTTACCCTCAAAAATCATAAATTCTACATTATATATACATATTATATATGAATTATATGGTGGGTTAAAAGTAAATTGTTACGGACATAATTAAATATATAATATGTAAATATAGAAGTTTGACTGTGAAAGACTTATCGATTATCCAGTTTACTCTCTGCATGATGAAAATGTTTCCATCCAGTATTTATATGTTGCAGTAATCTTTAGTTCAGATAAATGCTATTTCCGTTTGTTTGTGACTAAAGCTAACAATCTATGAATATATATAAAATAATAATTAACAAAAAAGAAAGAAAAAGAAAGTACAAATTATAAATAGAAGCCTGATCTCCCCTTCTATTAGTTTCGTGCATTTCAACAGCATACAGGTAGAGACAATTTTTTGAAACTATGCTAATTTCTCATCCGATGAGAACGGATGAGAACACACAAATACACACTAAGATTATATATAATATATGTAATAATCCGCAGGTCTTCCAGGGCAACAGTGCAAGAGGGGAGTGGCATGGAAATAGGAGCACCAGAGACGCTGCGGTTCTTTTTAAATATTTTTTTTTAGTTACACAATTACCTAAACTGTTGTCTGCAGTATTATTATCTTTTTTTTTTCAACAAAAATAAAGCGAAGCTTAATATAGATTATATAGACGATAATATAAACCAACACCAAATACAATGCCAATTACTACTCTTATTTTTTTTTTATAGTTTCCTTGAATATTTATGTTCATATTATTTGAATTTTAAATGTAAAGTTTGCCCTGGCCCAAATCAAATTAAAAGTATTTCCCATTTTAATTTTTTAATATTAAACGAATAAACATCTTTTGAAAAAAAAAATCATACATGTGGCAAACCAAAATTATTGAGGTTGATAATAAGAGTGTATTATTTTGGCTTTATATGACGTTTACTGCTGGACAGCAGCCGTAGGTGGTTGTGTATATGGGTATGTGGTGTAAGGCATGGGAGCGGAATATTGGTTGTACGGACCTTGATTGCCACCCATAGATTGGTAGGCGCAAGGATTTGCACTATTGGGCAAGCCGCGTGTTTGGAAGAATTTACTGTTTATTATCGACTGCATACCATCGTTGGGAGTAGGTCCAGCCATCATGTTCATGTACTGAGGCGGCATTGCTTGATACATTCCTGGGCTGCTGGCTGGAGGCGGCCCAGCATACTGTTGACGCTGGGGATTATACCTTTGATTATTAAATTGGCGGCCACTATTTCCTGCAAGTACAACATAACCCAGAATAAATATATGACAATATATGGAACTTTAATCAGATTCTAGGGAATAAATAATTATTATGAAAAGCAATTAACACGTTAAGCGCCAAAAGAGGTAATTAGTACATCCCTGAATAAGTGATTAAAAAGTAAAAGAAATTTGTTAACATCATTCAATGACATTGAATGTGTAGTTTTAATTGAAATCATTGGAATAGTAAGGTAGGTAGGATGCTTACCATAATTGTTTCTTGGTTGCCCAGGGTTCTGATACTGCTGTCCATAGTTGTTCATCGGATAAGTTTGACCACTGTTCTGGTACTGTCCGGCAGCACTCGATTGATAAACACTCTGCGGATTATTTTGGTAATTAGACTTCGGTCTGTATGTCGACTCCATATTCGGTCTGATGTTGCCGTTCATGTGTCTTCCATTCAATGGCCGCGACTCTGGGTGATTGCTCTTGTTAGTCCAAGTCTTGGTTCTATTAATAGAACTGTTTGAATTTGGCGACGAATTGTCCTTCGTTCTGGTGTTCCAGCGATTGCGAGCGTTGGGATTACCGCGAGAAACCATAACCATCTCTCGCAAAGAGGGATTGATAACTTGACCAGCTTCCTCTAATACGGCAATAAGATCTTTCACCTGTCTTTGGTTGGCCATAGTGAAGAAAGCGTACGCAGTTCCAGCTTGCTGGCAACGTCCGGTACGACCGATACGATGGACATAATCTTCACTTGAATTTGGATAATCGAAATTTATAACATATTTTACATCTTCGACATCCAACCCACGAGCAGCAACATCGGTAGCCACGAGAATGGAGGATTTTCCATTGCGGAATTCCGACAACACGAAATCTCTTTCAGGTTGAGATTTATCGCCATGGATAGATATGGCTGAATAACCCTCTCGCCTTATAGTTTTGGTGATATCATCAACTTTCTTCTTGGTTTCCACAAAAATAATAATCTTATTATTTCTGTCTGAACCAATTTCCTTTAAAAGCTGGCACAGCTTTCCCTCCTTATCAGATTCTTCGCACACATCGACGATTTGACGTATATTGTGGTTGGCAGATAATGCCAGGCCACCAATATTAATCTTTAAGAAAAAAAAAAACAAAAATAGTTTACTAACAAATCGACATTTGAGTCTTAAATTAATTAAATACCTGAATGTAATCATCCAAAAATTCTTCAGCTAGCGCCTGCACTTGTTTGGGCCATGTTGCCGACCACATCAATACTTGCCTATCTGGCCTGATCTGTTCAATAATTTTACGAATTTGAGGTTCAAATCCCATGTCCAGCATACGATCTGCTTCATCAAGAACTAAATATGTACAACGCGTCAAATTGGTTGTACCCTTCTCAAGAAAATCAATCAAACGACCAGGAGTTGCAATTACAATCTCAACACCTCGTTCCAAGTCCCTCGCCTGAGGTCCTTTCGGGGAACCCCCGAATATACATGTGTTGCGGATCATCGTCGTTTGACCAAGATCACGAGCAACCTTCTGGATCTGCTGAGCGAGCTCTCTTGTGGGAGCAAGCACCAGCGCAATGGGACCCTCACCGCATTGCGGTCGTTGCTGGTTATTAATATGAATTGTAGCTGGCAACATATAAGCCAGTGTTTTACCCGAACCAGTCTGGGCAATACCAACCATATCTCGACCTGATAGAGCGATGGGCCAACCCTGCGCTTGGATTGCGGTGGGCTCAGCAAATCCCTGCTTCGAAATTTCATTCATGACGTAGTCCGGAAAATTTCCCTCCTCGAAAGTCTCGTTAGGATACGGAACGTTGTTGCCCCTCACGATGATGTCCTTTCCCTCCCTGTATTTATGTACATGACCTTCTGTCCTGTTTTGTACATTTGCATGAGGCATATAGAAATTCTTCATGATTGGCTTCAATGCCCTCATATCCCAGTTCGGCTTGATCAAAGTGCAGTTTTGTGCTTGGGTGTTCTTGTTGTTGTGTTGTTGTTTAATGTTCGGTCCTCCAAAATCTTGAACTGGAGCAATAGTATGAGGAGGGCCACCCCAGTAATTTGACTGCTTACCGTATTGTTCACCTCGGTCAGATCTAGAGCGATACCTGTTAAACAAATATAAAAAGAGTAAGTAACAGTAGTGACATTTTTATAATAAAAATAATAATAATCACAAACATATGACATCGATTATCAAAAACAAAAAAGTACATCCAACCACTACTTAAAAGAAATATAAACCAAATAAAATCTAATAATCGCTTACATGGTATGGTAATTTTCCTTGTTATTCCAATATGTAATGTATATGTTTCCTAAATTTGCTAAAGTTTACAAAATTTTGGTGGACAGATAAATCCATTAACCCAGATATGCCTAATGTACCATCAAATTGTGCATTACAAACATTTAATCAATTTGATAAATATACTGTTTTACAAAAAGGATCCATTTTGCATTACCATTTCCAGTACCCTGAGTACTGCAAGATAATATGAGAAGGGAAAAAAATGACTATATAAAAGTGACACAAAAAATTGATAAGCATGTCATTTATGAAAAGCGTGATAATACTTGACAAATAATTAAATACAAGTATCAAATGACTATAGTGATGTTAATTTGTGATGAATTATATATTATTACTATATTTAAAAAAACACAAGTAGTTTATACAATTGAAAGTGCTTTGGACTTTCAATTGCACATTACCTGATTAATTAGATTATTTCATAATCATTTCATAATTTATCATTTGATAATTTATGATACAAGATATGACTTACTATCGAGAGTTAAAAACGGTGTATTATATACAGTAATAAATTAATGTTCATATGTAAATACATTTTAGAATGGTTCTAGGCATATCTGTTTTAAATATTCACTGAATAGATACATATAATAAACAATAATTAAAGAAACCGGTAAATTCAAAATCCCGAAAATTACACTGTATCTATTAAATCATGTATTTGTATTGAAAAAAAAAGTCAATGCAAATACAATTATACATGGAAGAAAGTGCAAATAGGATTTTAATTAAACGCAATTCTTAAAACCAATTTTTCTAATCCACTTTTTTGTTGTACCAAAACGTTTAGTACATATTTATCAATGTAATTTTGTTATAGTAACACAACTGCTTTCATACGATATAATCGAAAGTAATTGTGCGTCTTTCTTATTTGGAGCAGCTATTGTTATGCATAATGTCCAACTACGTAACGACTTTGACTGCCCTTTTTAGAATACTGGGATACTCCCATATGAATAAGAGATTTCTTTCTTATTGTCGAATATACAATGAGAGAAATTATTATATTGAATATACTTTAAAAAGAAAATTTCTGACATTCAATTCCACAGTGAATTGATTTGCAAATTATTGGGGTTTCGCTGTCTGGCATGAATAAGTATATTTTATAAATTTAATAAAATCTAACAAGCTCTAAGTAAATAAGAGATAAAATGAAAATAAAACTTAACAATCAAAATTACTCAACCTCTTCTTAAATACAATTATTTCAATACTATATAGAGCTGAGAGGTTACTGAAAATACCCGCAAAAGCGACGTTATTGATTAGTCGTCGCTCTCATAAAACTAATTTAATAAATTGCCCTTTCACTATTTGTTCATAGATTCCCAAATTGCAGGGTTTTCGGTACAGGATATACCGGTCTTTCGTAAACATTAAATTTCATATAAAATTAAATGATGAATGCATACTTTCATCCCTTTGTTGCAACGAACAAGCATATGGCTACCTCAAAATTGCTACCCAATCGCAAGACTCTTCGCGTGTTGTCGCTTAACACCGGTGCGATGAACAAATTGACGAATGATCGTTATTTTCGCAGCTCGGAAATTGCATGTTACAGGGTGAATCTTGCTAAAGAACGGGTTGCAAATATTGCGCTGTTGGCAACATTGGCAGCGCAAAGAGGAAATCAATACATCCTAAAAAGGTTTGACCTACAGGTAGGTGGGTGGAAAACAAGATGTCAGGGTGGAAATGAGCCATTGTCTGACATTCTCAAATATATCAATTTGGTGCTAAAACTCTTTGAATTATTACTAGTAGCTTGGAGAAATTGCATTTATATATCTGCATCAATTTACATATTATAAGGATCACTGACTAAAACTTGAAATTACTATTTTCAATATAATCAATACAAACGTTTGTCAACCTTTCAATGCATAGGTATATAAGTATATATTATGACCTAATTTCAAAGGATTGTGAATTATTAATTTGACTGTTGAAATTGTTCAATTAGAGTCTTGTTAGAAAATATCTCAGTAGGTTGGTGACATGTAAGAGTTGAGGAAAACTCGTATTTGCATCTTCAACAATGTATATGCTGCATCAATATGGTTCAATAAATGTTTCTCGGCGGAGAAGAAGAATAAAAAAAAAAGGGTACGAATATTCTGCAGAAATTCGATGCACAAACGGAAAAAAAATACTTGGTGAGTACAAAAAAAAAAGCAATTCGAGTTATTCGAAAGGAGTGGGGAGAAAGCAAATGGCAGGTTAAATACCATTTCATAGATTAATATGTAGCAACAATCTTATTGATTTTCTGGGATGTGAATCTGCGCCATACGTACGTGCAAGTAAAAATTAAAATAATAATGATAATGTTGGATGTAACTTACATATTATTGCCGTTTTGGTATCCGTTGTGGTACTGCATTTTGCAGAGAATTATGTCACCAGTTTACTGTCAATGGCTTCCAATTATTAAATCTGCAAATAAAAATGTCGGCTTTAGGGACATGCACAATACTCTCCGGTTGGAGAAGTTCAGGGAGACTGCGGAAAAATAGAGAAGGAAATCGGGTATATCGGTAAGATAGTGGTTGCTTTCGAAGCAGGCTGACAAAAATGTGAAGGCAGAATGAAAAAGTGGATGGAAACTGCGAAAAAATGCAATGGTTTCGTACCTTATTGACCTAACCCGACCGGCGAACAAAACGATAATGGCCACCAACCCGCCAATCACGAAGAACCCGGTTGAGAAATTTGGGTAGGGGCGATCACTTTGGTACCGAAAACGCGACTGTTGGTGGCGCTGATCGTCGACATTTCGGGTTGCATAGTCGATCTGCGCAACTTGACAACACAAAAACGATGTAAAAAAACACAACGCAAACCGAAAATTTATTGATCCCGCTTCGGGTGAACTTTCAACTTTCCATATAACAGGGTTGCTCAAATCCCGGGCATTTCATACGTCACGTTTCCAATTGACTGTACCCTATGAATTTATTTTATTCCTAACTTTAATTTCTCAAACTTGCAAATACCACCAAAAAAATTAAACGTACTACTAAATTTGCAAATTATTAAGTATTACAAAATAATATAATCAGATTTATAAAATATATCTTTAATCTAGTTCAAATTACAAATTAAAAATAAAATATATACAACAAAATACAAGAAGTCTTCAACATAAGTTGAGAACGAATTAAGCAGATTCGAGTTAAACTTATTAACGTGCAAATTCAATCTATTTGATGATTAAGCCTTGTTTAAAAAAACAATCATAGGCTATCATGGAACAGGAAAACTATTTAAATTACAAATAATAATTTTGTGAAACTTTTGCTTATTATTTAATCATAAATAATATAAATATGTAATATTAGTAAATATTAAATTTATTATAAGTTTCAATTTGATATATGGAAAGGATACATTTACAAATGAAATATGAATATTTGTTCCTACAATTCTTTTCTTCTAAATACTACCTGAATTATGAATGTTTCTTGCAAATTCCGTTATTTTAGTATTTGTACTACCTCTTTTCACAAAGACGCATGAATTGAACGATGTCCTGTTTCCAAGTACTCAGGTAGCATTTCGGTCTTCTCAAATTTCACTATACCTTTTTTCTATCGTTTTCCGTTTCTTTGATCTTTCTGACAACTCACCATTCTACAGTCGCATTAAACTGATACCAGCTATTTAATTGGAAACTTACCGATTTGTTCATTTACAAAATATTATTAAACTCTACTTAAAAAAAGAATACAAATTGTCTTGCAGTGTAAACGATGTTGAAGCGGTAATAAAACATGAGTTGGTGCTATAGATTATAGGAATATTGCGTGTAAAATCAATAAAGCAATATTATTTTACATAATTAAAGTATTATATGGGTTGTTAATGGCAGAGGAAATACTATATAGGTTTTAAATATGTATATTTTCTTTATATATTTATAAACATTCATCAATAGTAAATATTGTATATTAAGTATATGAAATAATGTTTTGTCCATATTTATATTCCAAATGAGATGTTTAAATGAAAATATACGAAGCTATGTGCAGATCTAATATTTACTATTTATACATTTATTGTGGTAACAATAATAATGAAATGAAAATAGTTTTGTATCTATAAAATGAAATGAATGTGTAAAGTCAAATAAAAATTAATATAAGCTTGTTAATACAAAACGATCATGTTGGCAAGAAACATGTAGTATACAATAAATACCTACCTACAGATCAACAACGAAAGAACATATAACAGAAAGTTACATTTATTGACATTTAATAGTATAAATAAAAAAATTCTTTTTTAAAATATATGTGTACATATAAGAAAGAATTGCGATTTAGTTTGGTGTTGTCAATCAATAATTTTTTGAGCTCCGGTAGGTCTTTCCTATGCATTCTGTAAAAAAATGAAATACACATTTTATATGTATAGAATATGATGGGCATCTTCGTATCACAGGTATCAGAACAGAGATCGTGAACAAAATTTATAATTTTATTATTGCTTCAGCAGTTTTACGTAAATGTAACTACAGACTATACGAACACCTTGAATATATATTTGAAATATATATTATTATTGTTATTATATATACTACTTTGAAAGTTAAAATATATATTAATGTTAATGATAATATGCTACAAGTGTCATCGAAATAAATATAATTTACAATACATTGCTATAAAAAAAATCAGTTAATTTGATTAAAGAAAGATAAATATATTATTATATTGTATATACATAAAGCAAAACTGAATTCTTCTTAAAACTATAGTATATATTCAAGGTACAAAACAACAATAAAAATATGTTATACCGAAATTATTGCAAACTAGCCCTTTGAATCGAAGTATTTAATGGGAAGTCGACGGTGGCGGAGCAGCGAATGGGTAACCAACTGGATTAGGAAAGAAAGAGTTTGGTGTAGATGGCGGTGGTGGATGTGTGTAGAAGAGGGCTCCATTGGGGAAGGAGCCGTACGGGGGCGGCACATTCTGGTGGAATGCCGCCATCAGAGGCTGGGGCGGTGGCGGCGGCTGACTCGATGATTGTATTTGATGTTGCTGTGTTGTTGGTGGAGCGGGAGGGAGTGGAGGCTGATGCATTTGTGATGTTGGTAATGGTGGTGGTGGTTGCTGCTGAAGAAGTGGCCTGTCTTTCGGGGGGCCCAGACCTAAGCTGTTGTTGGATGTAGAAGACTTGCCTGATCGTCCGATCGATGGGCTTCTACCTCTACTATCAGAATGCGATCGTCGTCGTCTCATCCTGTTCCTGGATCTACTCCTCTCACGACGGCTGCCTCCTCTGCGAGGAGACCTCGATCGCGACCTCGAATTGGATCGCTGCGGCCTTCCTCTGCCCCATCTGTTCCGACCTGTACATAAAAAAAAAGAAAAAAATCACATTCCGTTTTATAACGGAAAAGTTACTCGTACCTCGTCCATTGGAATTTCCATTGTTCCAATTCCTGTTCTCGGTCATCTCAATCAGTTTTGGATTGATCACCTGCTTGGCCTCTTTCAGGACGGCCACAAGATCGGCCGCTTTATTTGCATTACTAGGAGTGAAAAATGTATACGCAGTTCCCGTTCTGGAAGATCGACCGGTGCGACCAATTCTGTGCACATAGTCTTCCGAATTTGAAGGGTAATCAAAATTGATTACAAACTTTACATCTTCAACATCTGCAAAAGTTTCATTTCTATAGTACAGTAAAGGGTGGTTCATGGAAAATGTTGCCTCCAAAAAAGAAAATTGAAAGTGAAAAACGAATTTAAAAAAGTAAATGAAAAGTAGATGAATGCGTACTTAGAATGCGTACGCATGAATTCTTACCTCAGAACCCCAAATTTAATTGAATTTCAATTCATCAATAGCATTACGATTTATAAAATCAAAATGTAATTAATTATTATAAAGATAAGCAAGTTTGGAGGCAACATTTATTTGTGGTTACATCATCAGCTGAAATGTAAATGCACATGTCTTTAACTTTGGTTCAAGTAAATAATAAAGTAATTAAGAGTAGGAAAGTAAATTATAAGATAAATAAAAAATACACAATCATAGCCTACCTATTGGTAAAAATAAATAGTCATAAAATTGAACAGTACAGATTTTGTATAGTTGATGCATACCACCTTTGGGGTGCATCGTCAGTTAGGGGTAGCGTGGGTAGTGAGACCCCGGCGCCAGTTTGAGACAGAGCATCCCCGCCAGTCCGCACGGGCTGAGGTAGCTGCCTCCAGCAAGTTTATAGCCGGCAGTCCCACGCATAGGCAGTCGTCCGCCACTGAGAGGCACAACCACAATGACACTTATGTCATTAGCTCGCTTGTGCCTCTGAAAAGAGAGTAGTGCCCACTTTATTACAACACGCCTTTACTCCACCTCTTAAACAGCAACAGCGAAATACTCAGGAGATAAACATGTACCCGCAGCGAAAGATTACTTTTATGCAAACAAATACTGACACTACTTTACATGAAATGCAGCAAAGATTAATATCATTTTTAACAGCCGGGGTTGGGCTATCTCCTGCATAGTATTTCCATCTGTCTGTTATAGACCATGCACAGGCTAACTTTCATAAATTAAATAAAATAAAAATTGTAAAATATAGAAAATATCCTTCCTTAACTATTAGCCTGCATTTAAGCATAAGTACTTCAATTTATTTATTTTCTGTGACTTACCTAAACCTCGCGCTGCAACATCCGTAGCTACCAATATTGGTGCTTTACCGGAACGAAAATCTGAAACAATAAAACATTATTTTATACATTATACGAGGAAGGAAATATCGCATGGAATAAACTGCATATATTTGCCGAATCAGCAAATTGTTTACTTAGCGTAAAGACGAATTAAATCTCTATATAGTAAATCAGATACACAGATATGTATTGTTTGTACATATTGAATATGTAATAAAAAAATATTCAATTATTAATTTTCTTCTTGGAAAAAATCCATAAAACAATCTTCTAATACTATCCATAATTTATTAAAATGAAAGGCTGATAGATCTGTGTTGCGAATAATCCTTGTGAAGGTCAAACTTTTGATACCTCTGATGTAGTGTAATTAATCAATATGTAAATAGCCGCACAAGCGTAGGGGTAAAATATGTAGGATACGTTTTGTAGGACCCGGAGCTAAATGCACTTTCTGCACATGTGCAGAGTGTATTCGCCCAGATGCAGGCAGCATCATTGAAAACTCAGGAATCCTGGGAATTTCCAGGGACATTGCTTTGTTGTGGCAGGATAACAGAGTGGCCCAAACTACTTTAAAAAGAAAACGTTCTTTTTAAAAATGAATAACAGCCTAAGCTACTAAGCCACATAAAAGCATATACAAGCATTATTAAATTTTTAGTATATCTCAGATATGCATAATCCTAGTTCATGTTTCATAAAAGTTAAATGTTTAGAAATACTAATAAATATAAACATTAAACTATAAATGGAGACCTTAAAACGCTCATGTCCAGAGCGTGGTAGGTACATCAATGAAATTGTAATTTTGATATGAATAGAAGAAACAGTAAAAAAGAAATATAAATATTTACCTTGGAGTACCCAATCCCGTTCCTGTTGTGATTTATCGCCATGAATGCAAACGGCCGGCCAGCTGTAACATCAAAGATCATAAATAAATGGGAAACAAAAATAAATAAATAAAAAAAGTGAAGCCACCAACCCATCTCGTTTCATTTTCCTTGTAATATCATCAACACGTCTCTTGGTTTCTATAAATATGATAGTCTTATTTTCTTTCTCAGCCATAATCTCTTTCAGTAAAGTGCTCAACTTCGTTTCCTTCTCGTACTCTTGGCAGACGTCTATGATTTGTAAAATATTATGATTAGCTGATAATTGCAACGAGCCCACGTTAATCTGCACATAGTCTTTTAAAAATTCAGTGGCGAGAGCTTGGACCTCCTTGGGCCATGTGGCAGACCACATCAAGGTCTGTCGATCTGGACGTATTTGCTCGATGATCTTACGTATCTGCGGCTCGAAGCCCATGTCGAGCATTCTATCAGCTTCGTCTAAAACTAAATATGTACATCGTCTCAGGTTCGTCCTGTTGCTCTCCAGGAAATCAATCAGTCGTCCGGGCGTGGCTATGACTATTTCCACGCCATCGGAGAGATCGTTGGCTTGCGGACCTTTCGGGGCCCCGCCAAAAACGCAGGTGTTCCGTATCCGCGACGTTTGTCCAAAATCACAAGCGACTTGTTGGATCTGCTGAGCCAGTTCCCTGGTTGGTGCCAAAACTAGAACGATCGGTCCATCGTCGCGCAACAATCTCGATTGATTGTTAATATGAACGATTGCAGGTAAGATGTAAGACAGTGTCTTCCCGGAGCCTGTGGATGCTATGCCCACCATATCCCTTCCGGATAAAGCTATTGGCCATCCCTGTGACTGAATCGGCGTGGGAGCTTTGAAACCCATTTTTCTTATTTCGCTAATAACGTAATCCGGGAAACACGTTTCTTCAAAACTAAGTACGGGGAAAGGGATCTGTTTCCCCTTCAGCGAGATTTCTTTTGAATGACGCCACTCGTCCACTTCGTACTTGGTTCTTTGTGCGACACGCAAGTGGGGAACATAGAAGTCTTTCTTAAAGGGTTCCAGTCTGCTCAGATCCCATCTGGGCTTCCGTAGACAGGCTCCTGCATTGTTTCGACGTCCGCCTCCATAATTACCCCTTTCTCGGCTTCTCGATCTTCTGCGATCTCTACTTCTAGAACTAGATACCAATTATTATTATACGCGTAAAGCATATAACTAAAAATATATATATACAACGAGTCAATCATCACGGTGGTAGCAATTACAAACCGCTGATAACTTTATGTTATTGTTATTGATTTATAAAAATAACATATTATCAGTTCTATAAACAAATCATTGATTATATTTATATAAAAAAATACATGTATATTAAACATCAATACATCTCTTTTGTCTACAACTACTACTTTATAGACAACCTTCAAACAATTGTGAAAAGATTACAATTATTTATAAGAGAATGGGCAAAGTTTTATAATATTGAAATCTTATTTATAGAAACTATGTTTATTTGCATTCAATATAATGAATTATTCATTATATACACTAACGTCAACAAAAGAAGAAAAAACACAGGATCATTAAAGATAAGCAAATTAAGTTAATATCATTAATTAATGTAATTAATATATGAATTCAATTAGAGAATATAGAAGCATCTTCATTAGTTTGGTGAATGTCAAACAATGTATTTAAATCATTCAGTTGTATAACAATGTTTTATTTTTTTGACAGATTCTAATTGGAATATTCATCTGTAAAGTAAATAAACTATAAATACAATAGAAGGATGCAGAACTTTGGTAAGCAAGGAAGGAGAAATGGCAATTACGAGGTACAGGAAAATAAGGAAACGCAGAAACTGCACGAAGAGAGTTAAATACGAATTAAATACACATACCGTCTTCCTGATCGGCCTCGCATTTGTATTTCAATTTGTTGTAGGTGTATGTAAAAGGATATGGGACTGCAAATGGTCAGATCAGAAGAGAGGTCTTCTATTTACGAAGAATTTTGATGTCACTCGTCATGTTGTCGGAATATCGGTGTATTAAATTTGCATAATTTTGTTATTAAACATTTTAGAAACAAATATGGGCGACACGAAAAGTACCGGCAACAATCGATACGCGAGATAGAAAGATCTGCTACGAGCAATGGTGGACATGAATGCTCGTAGCAAACTGTTACGCACGAATTTGTATAACCAGTTGCATAATAATCCTTTATTTAGATTACACAATGAGAGCAAACATTTAATATGCTTGTTTGTTTGTTTATCGTATAGCAAATCTGTATTTCAATAATAAATGAGCAAAACCATACTATTTGACTAAATTCTAAAGCATTAGACTAATCAAGTAATTTACTTGAGTACTGTTAAAAAGACTTAACATATTTGTACATATTTTGAATTGCAGGACTCATTGTTCTATAAACCTTAGTATTGTAAAAGAAATTAAATAAGTATAAAGTATTGCAAATAAATAATATATTATTATAAAAGAATCATGATGAAAATAAAAAATACACTTTGGCACGTAATTATAAATATTGACTAGATATTGAAAAGAAAAATATATGTACATATATTAATAGTATGTAGGATAATGATGATAGGGCGTGCTGCTTGGGGATGTAGCATGTGGTCTAGGTGGCAAAGCTGTCGGATGGTAAGGATGGGTGGGCGAGACAGGATACCCAGAATATGCGACGGGAGACATATTACCAGTAGTGGGCGCAGCAGGCAATATCCTTCCATCCGACAATAATCTACTCTGATCCAATAGCCTCGGTTGATCCGATATGAGCCTTGAATCGTCAGTCAATAGTCGTTGCTCCGTACCCAACAACCTATTAGTTGAGAGTTGATCGTTAGATAATATCCTATTTGTCGTGTGATCTGATAGGATCCTATTGCTCATATCTGAAATCAATCGGGAATCCGTACCTAGATGCCTGGGTGCACCCAAATCGGTACTCATCAATCGGCTCTGATCCAAAGACAAACGGTGCGGCGCAGCTTGCAACGTATGATCACTCAGCAATCGCGAATTCGCAATTTGATGCGTCCGAAGGCTTAAGTCTACACTGTGTCGTCCGGGTGGTGTTAAATCCAAAGACACTACCCTCAAGATATCTGCATGAGAGTAAGTCGGCGGCGGAGGACTGTAATTCATCCTCAAATCCACCGTGGGTCTATCAACTTCCGGATACAAATGATGATATCTATTCAAATTCGAGTAGTTGTGATAACTACGCGCCGACATATCCAAACCTTGCAGCTCAGAAGGATTCAGCACGAGCGGCTCAAAGTTCCTGTCCGTCCTGAAATCCTCCATTATACTTTCGTACGTTTTATTCCTCTCTAAATTGTTCCTCAGCTCTAAATTATCCAAATCATAATTTTTCATCCGAAAATCATCTAGAGAACCTTCGTAAGTGTTCCTCCTAATCTCAGCGTCTATATCGTAGCTCTTCCTGAGATCCAGATCAATCTCAAATTTGTTCCTAATGTCTGGCAACGTGCTGCGTATAGATAGATCTAAATCGTTATCCTTGTGCTTCACATCCTGTATATTCTCAAAGTCTTTATCGGACAACTCATTCTCCAAATTATCCTGATTCGTACTAATATTTCCGTTCATACTAAATTTATTGGTATCATCGTTATAGCTTTTATCAACGTCCAGAATATACGATTGTTTTCTATCATTCTCATCGAACTTCAGTCTCGTACTTTTACGAAGAAAACTACTCGTATCGAAATTGTAATGCGACTTATAAATCGATAAATCCAATTGGATACCATCCTTCGTGTTGTGCAAGCTTAGATTTTGAGCGCCGATGCCACTACTATCATCCGATTCAGCGTTCACTGTCTGACCGAAATCGTACCTGGGTGGACTTACTTGAGGCGAAATATTCTTTGATTGGTTCTCGTAGTTATTAGGGTTTGTTGGTGAATTCTCGTTGATGTAATTGCGCACAAAATTGTTTCTGCTCGGTGAAGTGGGTGGACTGAAGTCCTCTTGCAAACTCGAATAATCTATACCAATCGTTTGGGTGTGGCGTAACTCATCGTTCAGATCATCTGTAACGGAGATGTGGTCATTAACTGAAGGAGATATTAGATTTATATCACGAGAATCGTTAACATCCACGGAATGGTTGTAGGTGACTTCTGGTAATGTATCACCATGTGATAATGTATACAGGTTATTGACCAGCGCGTCCGTGCAGTTCGGCGTTGTACTGACATCAATATCTATATTAGGTTCACTACAAACGGAATCCAATGCGGCTTCTACCAAGAGACTCGCATTGGATTCATGTCTGAAAGTGTTTAAATTGGTGTTCAACTTTCTTGTATCATAAGCATCAGCTTCTTCCACGTCCAAGTTGACTTCGTCCTTTCTACTTTCCATTGGATAAATATCATTCCTCACTAGCGGTTCTTCTATGATCCACTTTTTACTACCTTTGCTTATTATCTTCATGCTCGGAGCATACGCTTCAAGCGTTGGTGGACTTTCATCTGAATTAGAAGAGTGATCATTCGTTTGGATCGGCAAAGGCGAATGCAAATCGGGAGGTTCATCAATATTCCTGTCATCCAGCTCTAAATCTGCAAATGAAGATAAAAATAATAATGAAAACACAAAGAGTTAGTTAACTTACTGTTGTCTTCCTGATCGCTGTCGTTCATATCATTTTTATCATCGCTCTGTTTGTCCATCATTTCTATATCATCCGTTCCACTGTACGCTTCAAATGTGTAATCAACGCTTCGTTCTATCTTTGGCATCACTTCTTCCGTGAATCCGTGCACCTTCTTATAATGAAATTGTAAACATTGCTTAGTAGTGAATGCTGCAATACAATTACCCTCAGCACATCTAAAAATATTGATATTTTAAATAATAAAATTACCGAATAACATAAATTTACTAACTTGAATGGTTTTATCCCGCTGTGCGTAAGCATATGAATTTTTAAATTAGATTTGTTTTGGAACATTTTACCACATTTATTGCACGCACAAGCACCCTCCACTTGTTTTTGGTGCACTTCCTTTAAATGCCTTTGCAACGCAGCCCTAGATCCTAACAGTTTTAAACAGTTTTTACATTGAAACTCTTTAAGAACCTCTGACATATCTATAAAAGATATTTAGTAGAAAATTGAATCGATAATTGAAAATGTAATTCATACCACTATGCATTCGTTTTATATGAACTTTCAACTTCTGTGGCTGACAGAACTTCCTCCCACAGAAATCGCAAAGAGGTCTCGACCTATGCGGATTCGCCGAACAACCGTATGTTCTGTGCATTTCTAGATAATTGAGCCGTAGGAAAAACTGAAAATTAATTTAGTTACATTGAATTTTCCGTAAAGTGGAACTTGCTCCTTTGAAATACCTTCTTACAAAATTGACATTGATAAGCACCTTGTCCGTTGTGCAATTCAATGGCATGCTTCATGATGTTCTCTTTGCCCAAAACGGCAACGCCACAGACTTTGCAATGGTATTTGCGAATAGTTAAACTGTAACGAACATCATGAAATACTGAGCAATGAATTCTATAATAAAGAGGATGAAGAAAAGTCATGTTACAACCCCCGCAGGCTAAAATGTTACATATTTTATATAAGAAGTATGTTGTGAAAAGCTAATGCTAACTCACATGTTTTCTCCATTTTCTTCTTATTGCTAGACGACACATCGTCCTGCCAATAAAGCAATTCTTCTCCGACTGTTATTCTTTTCACAGTAACTAAATACAGGGAATCATCTTTCGAGATTAGAGTAACATTCCTCAATTCCCTCGTAGGCGATGGTCGGACGAATCTCATCCAATTCGCCTCTTCGACGTTCTCGGTATTAATATATGTTGGACTGTCTCCGTTGTTTATTTCGAAAATATCCCTCATATTGCACTCCTCAGGTATGTCAACTTCCTTGACCGTTTTCCCAAGCAAAGGTCCGAACTGCGTGAAATCATAAATTTCATTTTTAGCAAACACCCCCAACCCGTGAACTGTGTTGGTTTCCTCAAAATAAAGGTTCATTGGAAGCGACTGATAAGCAAACGAAAACTTATTAATTGTGCTACTCTCTAGTTCAGTTTTTCCATCCTCAATTGACGCGTTCTTGCCGTACAATTCGATGAACTGCTCTAACCATTCTTCGTGTTTAAGTAAATCTTCAATCACATATTTAGGAATTCCCAGTGGACATTGGTCTTGCAAGTGGCGAGTGTTGCAACCACCGCATAACTTTATCTTTATGGCTAATCGCTGATTCGCATCTTGCACCTTCTCCTCCTTCTGTTCTTTCACTTCGGATGTTTGCAGCAGCAACTCCGGAGCTTTTCTTATATCGTGCTCTTGCTTTTTAGCCTTCTTCTCGCTCTTCGCTTTCTTGACTTTCTCGAGCACCTGTTCAGGTTTCGAACTCACCTCCGGTAATTCCTCTTTAACAGAAATACCTGTCTTATCATTCAAAGGCACATACAATTTATTCGTGTCGTTTAAGATTAAACTATTTTTAACCGCTTCCGAGCTGGCCAGGTCTTCTGCTGCGTTATTCGATACATCCAAGTCTGATTCCAATGGAACAACGCTTTTCTGCTCTCGGTTTTCATCGGAATTGTCAGCCTTAAGAACATTCTTTCTTGCATCCTTTCTAAGCCTCTGGTCCCTCCTTAATCGTGCATATCTTTTTGAACTCTCTTCGTTGATATGATTTTCAGTATTTTCGCTTTTGTTGATCTTATTTCTGGAAATATTATTGATCCCACATTATATATTAAACAGGCATTTCCTAATTCCTCTACATATTTTGAACACTATATAATAAATACTATTTCATTAGTATTTATCAAGTCATTGAGTTCAAAATTTCATTAGTTAAATCATAATCATTGCAAATGTATAGTACAAAAAATTAATGTATTATTTATTCATGGAACATTTGATAATGACTTACAATGTTATTCAAAATCATAATAATTATTTTAAAAGTAAAAATTTAATATTTAATTATTATTAAATTGATAATTTTAAAGCAAATTTTATATAATAAAAAATCCATAGTTATGATTGTAGGCAACTACAATTGTTTAGAAAATCTCCAAATATGTTTTAAATTGTTATAGTTTTTTAGTGTTAATATCCAATGAAGTAAGTACAATTTCCTAGGAATTAACCTGATTTAAATCGTTATTGCATAGTTATTAAATGAATGCAACAAACATTGAAAGACATAAGGAATAACATAGACGGTAATTTGATATAAATAATCACACGTGTTTGTTGTTATTGATCTGTCAGAAATGTATCGTCCTCCGATCAAGATGTCAACGAAAAAAGAGCATCATAAACCACCGACCGCAAACGCTTTGAACAGAAAAAATATATAGTAAAATTACCTATCCAAGTGTTCATTAGCAATATCCAAAAGGGCTTTAACGAATTCCTCGTTGCTGTTGCACGAAAACGCCGTCCTGAGGTGCATCCACAGCTTGACATTTGATGTGCCTATCACAGAGCTTAGCATTGATTTTTGATCATTTTTGTTAATGTTTTCACTTAAATGGCAATCCACGCCGTTCGACACATTTTCAATTTCTTTTTGACACTTTTTGGACATAACTGAATTGTGAAATGCCCTTTATAAACCGGCAAACACATTGTAAATACCCATTTATAATGGTATATCGCCTATCCTCTTTATGCTCAAGGACAACCGTTTTGACGTTTAGACGCGCGCCAAAATGGCCTTATTTGAATCCTATTTGAATTGTATTCATTCAAGTATCCAACATTCATTTATATTTGAGAAATTTATGTAACATATTATTATATTATTTCATTTAATCAATCGGTTTATTATTCAAATATGTTTTAATCAAGAAACATAACAAAACCCTTTTTTATTAAAAAAATCACAGCATATCAACCAAACACTAAAGTAATCATTTTCATTAAATACAAACTAATTGTTTATATAGTCAGTATATTTAAATACATAGCATTAATGTAATATAAATATCAATAGCAATCATAAAGCTTTATAACTAGATTTAAAGTATAAAGAAATTAAACCCAAACTAATCACAAACAGAAATTTCAATTTGTCAACGATATTATAGGAAATAGTATTTTCATGTGTTCAAATCTTTTCTTTCTTCTTTGGCCATTAATCACTATGAATTTCAGTATTGTGTAAATGTGTTGTTAAGACTTGTTGCTCTAAAAATTCGTCGTGTCCGCTTTTCTAGAGTTTCATTTTAATAACGTAAATACAACAATGAAAGAATATATAAGTTAAAAATCATTTATTAAATTGTATTGTTCCGTAATCTACAGAAAAGTTGGTACAATAATAATAATATAATTAAAAATGTTATTACATGTAAATATTAAATTGCTCTATGGAATAGTTCTTATACAGGCTATCTATATTATTGAGACCGGATGTCGTCGCTTTGTTCAAGACCGGCACCAGCTTCTGAAGTTCATCGACACTGCACAGATGCGCACTGACGAGGCTGTTCAGGTACGTCAACAGTTCAATCACATTCTCGTCTTTGGACAGCAGGATCTTCAGGTAATTCGCATCCAAAACAGTGGACGCCCAATCGATCAATTTGTTCTCGGCATCGGCGTTATCCTTGTGCAGCGAATGTCCATCCTCAGAAAGCAAATAGCAGATGTACCTTAAGAGTAGAACAGCATTGGAATACTCCAATTGCGTCCGCAGCACAGGCAGCAACATGCTATCACTTGTCTTGAACATCAACAATTTATCAATTAAATGACATCTCTCGATCGGTGCTAAATTCGGCGGCAGTTTGTTGTCGCCTTCGGACGTCTCCTTGAAACAACTAGGATCCAATTTTAAAATGTAATTTAGCATCTTCGTTATGTACAATTCTGGTATATCGCAGAAACACTCCAAGCACTTCTCTATGGCGGAGATGTTGTTGTCAGCCATGTACTTGGGAAGGATTATTTCGCAGATGGAAGATTCAGGAATACCTTGGGAGATGTAATCTTGGACTTCATCGCTGAAGCCTTTCAACACACGGGTAGTATTGTTTGCGTTTACCTCGTCCTCCTCCCAAGAAACCACCGCAACATCTTGAATTATCTTTATGTCGGAATCTTGCACAGTTACTTTGTGACTGCCGATTAGGGCTGCGATTTGCTCATTCTGAAGATGATACGGGATAACAGCCAGGCTCTGGCCCACACTGAGGAACAAGTGATTTTCAATGCACCATAACTTAGAGCCACTGGTGAACATCTTGAAGGTTTGCTTGGATTGCAGTATTTGGAATTGTATATTGAATATAATTAAACTTGCTCCATCTTCTTGAGAATTTGCACCATACATTGCAATATAATCTTCATTTAATGAAATTATAGTAACGTCCTCTTTGCATGACAAACAATCTAATAGTGTAAAGAATGTTGGTTCATTATTTGCACTATCTTCCTTCAGGTGGTGGGACCACATTTTACCATCAGACCCTAAAGAAATATAATTATTATTCTCTATAAAAATCTATATAATTATCATTTTACTTACATAATGTAGTAAGATTTATTTCAGCATTTGCATTAGTGTTCATAACATAGCCTCTCAAAGCCAAGTTATCTCTTTCTAATTTTATAGTTTGAAAATCTTCTTGCTTTGATCCTTGAAAGATTGTCCATTTGAAATAAGTACCCTTGCTATTTTTAATTAACAATCCAATGTATATTTTCTTGGACACTGACAAAGTTAATATGTCTTGTATATTGTCACCAACATTTATAACATTAGCAGGCTTCAATTCCTTGCAGCTGTCAACAGCTTCCTTTAAAAGTTTAATATTTCCATTGGTAAATACTATAAACTGAATACCATTGCATTCCAAAATTGTGTGAATTTGCAGATTAAACTAAAACATTAAACCATTAGTATACATGTAAAAAAGTAAATATTTATGTGAACATACTTTAATCTTCTTCAATTTATCTAAATTTTCATCATTGCAATTCCAAGTTCTCAAAATGGTTTGATTGAAGACTGCACAATATAATTGATCCTCTTTGTTAAATAGTACAGGTGAACTAAATTTATCTTTAGTTCGCCAACTTTTTATTTGTTTCTGATCGGATAGCTGCAATAAATTCATTTAATTATTAATATAAACTCAACAATAACATTATTCCAATTTACCTTATATCTGACAGCAATATTTTTACCAAGGGTCACAATTACGTTCTCCGACTCGGAGTCTTCGTTAACTCCTAGTAAGCTCTTATGATCCACAATTGGACACAAACTGTAATAAATACCTAACTTTGCCATCTTTTATACACGTGTGGTATGTTCAAAATTTCAAAACATAACCCAACATAACCTCACAAAATTCTTGATCAACCAAAAGAATGTGAAGCTCAGTGAAGTTTACTGAGAATATTGGAGAATGCAGGCAACATTAGGCAAGGTAGGCAACTTTCATTGTGTATCAATTACTATGTTGCCAAACTTTTTTAAATTATTGATATTATGATTTAAACTGTTCTTCACTTACATTATATGAATATATGAACATTAAATGAAGATTATTAATTAGCTTTAAATAATATTAATATAAATACATTTTTTAAAATAATAGTTTTTATTTTTTATAATTATGGTACTATTTATAGCACCAAATCGATACTCACATAACAATATAAAACTATTTGAAATAATATAATAGAACATAACCTATTATAGACACTTGTTTTATTTGTGATTTTATATAGAAGACTTCAAGAATGGTTTGCGAGGATACTTTAAAAGTGAAAAATTTACCAAAGTCTCTAACAAACGACGAAAAGGAGGATTTCTTGAGGTTTTTTGGGGCCACCTATACAAAACTAATCACTTCAAAATTGAAAGAAAAAACAGTAGCTTTTGCAAAGTTCGAGACAAAGCAATTAGCCAAATCTGTTTTACATAGATTGCACCAAAGTAAAGTATTGGATACAATATTATATGTAGAATATGCACAACATGATATTGGTTATAGCAAGTTGCAGTTAAAGTCAGATAAAAGTGATGACGTTAAAAATAAGAAGTTCTACAAGGCCTTCATAACTAAGATAAATGCATTCAATTCCTCAGTTGCCTTCAATCAACCACCACCTCCATATCTCCAATATGAGTACCCAAAGGCTAATAGGTCTACAATAAATAATATTGCACATGCCTTAGCATCAGTGCCAAAATTTTACACACAGGTCTTGCATTTAATGAACAAAATGAATTTACCTCCACCATTTTCAGTGGACATAGCTGACTTGCCAATTAGAGAACAACCACAACCCAAGCAACAGCAGCATGTAAATGTTAAAGAATCTTCTTCGGAGTCAGAAATTGAAAGTGAACCAGATGAGAAAAGGAGTAAAGATATTGTTGTTAAGAGAACTTTACGACAGAAGAAAGCAATAAAAAGACCTAAATTTATTAAGCCAAATGTAATACAGGCAGGTACCTTACACAAAGAACAAAATGCAGATCAAGTATTTGATAAAGTAAATATAATCAATCGTCGAATAGAGTTGAAAGTAAATAGTGAATGTTTAGATTCAAAGATTGAGTCTAATGGTCCAGATAGTAGCACAGTAACAGAAATGGAAATTGCTGAGGACGAGGAACCCAAAGGAACTTTCATTAGTGATAAAGAATTGAGTGCTAACAGGATTCCATTGAAGGACTTGACTGTCCTTCCAGTATTTAAGGATTATCACCCTGGGGTGCCAAGTTGTCGTTTGTACATTAAGAATATAGCGAAATCTGTTGAGCAAAGCGATCTCGAATATATTTACGGAAAATATAATGTTGCTGGTGATTCGACAGAGTCGAGCAACTTTGATATTCGTTTAATGCAAGAAGGAAGAATGAAAGGGCAAGCTTTTGTTACGTTTAGATCAATTGAAATGGCACAAAAGGCTTTGGTGAATTCAAATGGGTTCATTTTGAAGGATAAACCTTTGGTTGTTGTCTATGGAAAAACTATTACTAAGTAATTAAATTTGAAAATAAAATATGTATATTTTTTTACTAAAAGTTGATTTTATTTATAAAGAGTTGAACCTTCTAAATTAAAAATTGCACTAACAAAGTACATTCAAAGGAAGGAATTGATGGGTAAAGTAAATAAAATAATTGTATTAAATTATATATATCTATATTGATTTGTTTCTTGTTTGAAATAAAAATTTGAAAATAAATATTAAGGGTACTAAATTAATATATATTTATATATTTACAACGTTAATGTTATATATCATTATACACTCAACAAATATTTCGTATAAAAAAAATGTAAATTGTAAATAATGCCTGAGCCCAATGCATGTATTAAATGTTCATTTAGTCAGTATCAGAAACTTATGTAGGTACATGTTTTAAAAATAAAAAATTTAATAATTCTCTTGGAGTTCGTCTATACCAATTCTATCCACAAAATCTAACACAGTCTTATAGCTGCCATTTGTTCACACGTAGTTAATTTCTTTCTTGTTTGTTTTTTTTTTCATCAAATAATAATTATAATTAAGATAATAGTATTTATATAATAAAACGACATGAAAGTAAATTCTTAATAAAAAATGGGAATAAATGGATAAACATTAAAAAGACCAACAAATAAAAACAAATTAACGCACTCTACTACTTAAATTAAGGCAAATAATTAGTATCTTATGTTGGAGGGTAATGATGATGTGACGCTACCACAGTATAAGGTAAATGCGTCGGCATAATATGTGAAAATAATAATAAAATAAATAGAAATCTTGAATAAATATATACATAAATAAAAATTAATTGGTATTCAGCACCATCAATAGACATCCTCGCAATAGCGTCACTCGCAATTAAAGACTGCCTTAACTTACCATCAGAACAAAACACATTCACGCGGATAAAATCCAAAAGATTTAAATATTAACAACAAATAACATATAGTTTTACACACACTAAGTAGGTAGTTTGTTTTTTTTTCTCTCATCCTCCCCCTTCATCATTGTCTCGTTTTTTTTTGTATTTTTCTTTCTTTCGTTTCTTCTCTTTTTCTGTTCGCTTAATTCTCGTATTTGTTTTCGCAAAGGACTTGAACCGTTTCATTACCAACGGAATGTATCTACTGGTAGTCTCTGATGCAGAGAAACGTAATGCACTCATTCGGCGAAGCGAGAGTGCCAACACCGTCCCTATACAGATATCTCGTAGTTCATATCGTAGACGCTGGTGCGGTCTGGAGTGGAGGGTCTGCCCTGCGAATGGCTGGTCGCATTCGAGTTCAGCTCTACGGAATCGGTCATCTCCAAAGCACGGACGAAGGACATTGGGCGTCTTCGAGCGTCGTGTATCGTAGGAGTGCCAGCTCCCATTGGCTTCTTACGATGAACTTGTGGACTTTGAGGAGGGTAAACTGAAACGCCGCCTCGTACAGGCGGATGATATCGCGGAGCATGATAAGCAGCCTGCTGTGTGGGACTAGTGGGATTGGAACAGTAGAAATCGGGATGAGGAGGTGGCGGATTGTACCCAGGGGATGTATCCTTCCACATGTAGACGCCGCGCTGCGGGGAGTTCGCCAACTCTCTAATATTGTCAACGGTATTGTTGCTCCTCGGTTGCTGAGGTACGATGTGCATCTGTTGCACTAGCTCCCCCTCGGACATGAAGCGTCGCTGCGGACTTCCGTATCCCTGTGATACTGGTGGTCGTTGGCACTGGTTTGGCTGGAACTCGTAGTATGGAGCACCGACACCCTGATGGTTCGAGGACACGCCGATGAAGTCTGGCCTTCGGGGCTGTGTAGGGGTGCTGGGGTTAGATCTGTGGAGAGGAAGCAACTACATTTCTAGCAAATAAAATAAAACAGCTAAAGCATCAAGCATCCTTGTCACGTCCACCTAAAAAAACCACATAAGACCGTACTAAATTTCTTACGTACAGCTCTCATTTGCTACCGCAATCGATCAAGTGCTATGACCGATTGTCCTCGATACGATGCTCATCTTACCTTCTGACGGGACTAGACATAGCTATGGGTGTCGGTACTCCTAGTGACTTTATCCTTTGCTGGGTGGTCGGTGATGGTCGTTGTGGGCCCAGGCTTTCTGGTGTTCCACTTCGGGTCGAGTCCATAATTCGTGGTCGAGGATGTGGGCTATGCCGTATGTACTGCATTCGCGGATGTCTGGGAGATTCTCCGTCGATCGGAGGTAGGAAGAAGTTGCTTTTAGAACCATGTCTCTGTAAAGGAGGAGTCGGTTCGCAGTCTTGGGATTGTGACGCAGAAGGTTCCAAATCCGGATCCATTCCGTCACGTCCAGGTGATAGCTTAATACACAATTGCAGTTAAAAACAAGACCACAACATCTCAAGCAATTATTATTACCTTATTATATGCATTCGAATTCATATTTCTAACTCCATTACTATTGTCCATGTAAGTTTTAACTTGACTGTCATTTGTGATTGTTGCTATTGGTTCATGTAAGCAATGTTTCTTTTTCACTGCATATTTGTTAGGCTTCATTAAACTACAAAACAAACATATATTTTGATGAAATATAAACAATTATGAATAGAAAACTACTAAATCAATATATGTATTTACTCCAATAAGAATCTAAAGGTAAACAGAAAATTGCCAAAGAATCACAATGAATCATAATACTTTTCTTCTACTCATTTTGCATTATCAACATATGAATATAGTAGATTTTTTTAAATTTATAATCATATCTTCATTTACCAAACACTAGTTATTGTATTGTTGTTTTGATTATCTATTTCCTTGGCAGTGATTCAATTGTGCATCATTTAAATAATCCAGTCATGCTCAAAACATGATAAGATTTTTAAAATAAACAATGACAACATACCTTGGAAATTGTGGACCAAATTGTGTGTAACAGCAATTATCCCAGCATCCTCTGGAAAAAGGATTGTAGCCACCTTTAAATTTGCCAGTGACCTGCTCATTGGTGGTCCTTCCTCTAGACACAAGCACCATGTGGAATGCAGTTAAACCAAAGATTGGTATAGCTAATAGTGCCACCACTCCCATCAGAACCATACTGAAGAAAAATCATTAAGGAAAAAACAAACATTATGTCATAGTTACTTGACTTGTTTTTATCTATATGAGTAAAAAAAAAGGATACGCTATAATTGGTTCCACATTTGAAAGATTATCTTTTTTATGTAAAACATAAACCAAACTCAATGCAAATATACTGATCATGTGCAGACTTAGTGATATTAAAAAGAAAAAGAAGAACCGGTAATTTCTTCTGCCAATGCAATTGTTCACCCATGGGCAATGATGGTCAAAGGTCTAAAAAGAAACAATAAATTCTGTGAATAACAATCTTAGGGAAATTATGCAATCTTACTTCTATACAATGATTACAAACGCTACAATGGGAACACCTGGGCGGACGATAAAATTTACATGTTACACACCACTTCATTCGAACAGTGATACCATTTATATCAACATTTTTATAAAGTGGTGCTCTAAAATCATCCTCCCTGTCTTCGTCTGGAGCAGCTAAACAATATAAAAATTAATCCTAATTGTACCATATGAGTATTTGTGGGTATCTCAAATGTTACCTTTTGGTATTACACCAGGATCCATAAATGTGGCTAATGTAAAATTGGCCAAAACAAAGAAAGTTATGACCCCCTGATATGCTGGTACCCATGGGTAACGAAAAATATAATATTGGGCACTGAAACAAATGAGTAATTTTACCAAAATTGGCGATAGATTCTGGCTATTTGTGACTTACGGAAAATAGAAGAACAATGTTGTTGCACCTAACAATAATGTCCAAGCAAAGGTTGCTGGTATGTATCTAGTTTTCACATCGCACTTAGGCATTATGTCTGACAAAATTAAACTTAATTAAAATTAAACATAAAACAAGAAAAATATTTTCATGCAGGTCAACATGGCTGCAGCAAACGCGATGAAACAGGCCACAAAACGTCAAAATTGGAATATGTGGCATGAATATAGTCGCATATTTATAATGATTCATCCCTGTCTCACGTCCTTCGTGCAGCTTCGTTACGATTTCATGCAACTGCATTTCATGCGCTTCATGCATGGCCTTTGCTACCATCAAATTGTCTCAAGTCAATTGTAATTCGTTTACGTTGTTTCTATGAAATTAACACTGAATCTATATTCTTGAAAAATTATATACTTTTTTTATAATTATTTGTACGTGATGTTGCCTCCTTTAAATTATTAAACTTAATAAATACAAATAGAAACGAGCCAGAAAATATTCAAAATTTGAACATTGGCGCGCATCTCCTGTAACCGTACCAACAAACCTGAAAAACAAACAGTATTTAAATGCTTGTATGTTGTTTGTTTATCATACCTAGTTGCTTGTACTGACATATACTAAAGTGAATTGCAGATTATTCACCAATAGTTATTTAATATGAATAGACGCCTTCACAAACAATTAATAAATCATTTGTAATATTACTTTTAGAATATAAAACATCAGTTGCTGTGTTTGTTTGCATTGGCAACATTGTTTGGCGTCGGATCCAATGACGTATTTTCTGAATAGCAAAATGGCGTTGTAGCGTCGCTTGTGTTGTAAATAAGAAAATATTTTAAAATATATCCATAGAAAACGATAATTGAAATCACTACAAAGCATCGGAAGGATATGCTTCAGTGAATATCGCAAAGCCGATGTAGTTGTTGTTTAGTTATACCAAATGTAAGTATATAGATAATCAGTTGGGCCCATTTGTAATGTGTGTATGTACATGCATGCACATATATATAATGAGCTAAATCTACAAAAATGTGAATCTGCGAGTCTGTTTCTTGATCTAATTCGTAGCGATTATTCGTTTTAGTGTTTTTCTAATTCATATGAATTCCTTGTTTTAGAATGGAAACAAACAAAGAACTTGAGCTAAATAATGGAGAGAATGTGCCTCCACCAGATACTACTAACACAATTAGTGCAACTGAAAGTGAGGTTGCCAATATCATAGTATCAGAATTTCAACAATCTCTTGAAGGTGAAAATGTTGCAATGGTTGAAGCAACTAACATCCTCACTGAAGATAATGATAGTGCAGCATCTGAACCAAAGGATGACGACATGGAGGTAGATGAACCTATTGTAAAGGAACTTGAACAAGTGAGAGAAGAACCTATGTTGGTGTCTTTTAATGAAAGCAATGAAGACACTAGTTTAAAACAAGATGAGTCAGGAGAGGTAGCTATGACTATTGAACAAATTCCAGAGACAGTAGATGAAATTCCAAATGAGACAATTGTTGAAACTGAAGTTCCACACCAGGAACATACAGTGCAACATGAAGTGGCTAGTGAGCAACATGAAGCATCTATTGAGCAACATGTAGTGGCTAATGAGCAACATGAAGCATCTGTTGAACAACATGAAGCATCTGTTGAACAACATGAAGCATCTGTTGAACAACATGAAGAATCTATTGAACAACATGAAGAATCTATTGAACAACATGAAGAATCTATTGAACAACACGAAGAATCTGTTGAACAACATGAAGAATCTATTGAGCAACATGAGGCATCAGTAGAACAATATGAGGTTTCTCTAAAAGATGAGACATCTGTTGAACAACTTGAATCATCCACAGAGCAACATGAGGCTTCTGTTGAGCAGCATGAAGAAACTGTTCTGGAGCAAATGGATCAATCAACAGAACAAATAACAGAAATTATTGATGATATGCAGGAGACAGTACCAGATAATATCCAAGTCATTGAAGGTGAAATTGAAGATCATAAAGATATAGTTGATGAAGAACATGAGCATATAGAAGAGGCCACCATTATCAAAGTAGATGAATGTAAAGCTTCTGAAGAATCTTTGTATAATCAGGAATCTAATGGAACTGAAGATGAAGAAGAAGAATTAGAGGAATATGAGGAGATCACTCAAGAAGGTACTGTTCTAGTTGTTGCTTCAGGTGAGCCTGAAATGAAGGAAATTGTTGTTCGTACTCCAGATGGTAGGGAAGGAACAGTTACTGTACAGCAAGTAACAGATGAAAATGGTCAAGTTTATTTGGTAGAAACTATGGATAATGTAATTGTTATGGATGAGGATGGATCTCATCACGTAGAGGTAAAAGCAATCATTATGAAATTTATTAATTACATTAATATTAAATTTTTTTTTTAGCATGTAGAGAATGCACCCAGGCCCAAAGTTCCAAGTCATGTTTTAGGACGTAACATTGAAAATCCTTCAGTGGATCCTTTCCGAAATGGTAAAGCGCCTCCAAAGCCGAGGTTGGGCGTAAAGATTCCGTACAGAAATTTAACCAGTCAAATTGTTAGCAAGCAAGAAATTACAGCAGAGATTATGGAGAGATCAAAAAGGTGCAGTAAACAATCTCCATCTGGGCAAAATTTGTTTGCGAAACGGTTAACTCAGACGTTAGCAAAAAAGCTTGCTCCTAGTAAAAAGAAATCAGTTGAAGGTTCCACTCCGCACATTATTAAGAAGGAACAATTTAATAATTCTGATCTTATTGCTATATTAGAGGGTGATGGTGATGACCCAGAACCTGAAATTGAAGCAGAACCAGAAGTTCCTGAACCAGAGGAACCATTTATAATGACTAAGGAAATGGAAAGAGCGATAGCCTTAAAGCAATTGCGAGAATTACCAGATGATCCGCCTGTTGAAGCAAAGCGGCCCGTGCCTCCGAAAAAAGACGAGTTTACTTTTAGCAAAGAAGATGATATAGAAAAATCACTGAAACAAATAGAAGAAGTACCAAATTTAAGAAAGATTAAAAGAAATAGAACTGATCTGGCGAGGGAAGAGGAAGATGATATTCCTAAACCTACGCGGTTTACAAGTTCTGTTCCGTTGAAAACATATACAAGGAAAAGGAAGCAGTCTGAGGAAGTTATACCAGAACCCAAGTCTAACGTACCGTCCCCAACGAAGCCGGTTTCTGATTCAACTAAGAAAATAGATTTACCATCAAATTCTAAGAATTATATAACGAAAAGTTCTAGAATTATTAAGAAGAAAATTATTTGGGATCCTGATGAGGTTTCACCAAAGAAAATGTTGAAGACTGGTGAAAACAACAAAGATAGACTTATTACTGTCGTTAGGAAAGAGGTCAGCAACGAGGACAAAAAACTCGTAGCAATAAAGAAGTTGAAGGAGGAGGAATTGAAGAAGGCCGACCTGAAAAAATGTGAGAAAAATGAGATACCTAAGAAGGCGGATGGTTCTAAAAAACTTCAAACAAGTCCAAAAATGGAATCCCCAAAACCTGAAAAGAAGATTTTGGTGAAAGCAGTTAGCCCTCATAAATTAGACAACAAAATGACGAACGAGAAGTTGGCTGCTTTGAAGGGTAAAAAGAGACCAACAGAAGTTGATAAATTGCTTATGGACGAAGGCGCAGTAAATATGCTGTATTCATTTAAAAATTCCGAAGATGATTCTAGAACCAAGAAGGTTAACAAATCTTTGATGAGTAAAACAAATGAGTTATTAAATGATTTGCAAACTAATACGGATAAAGTATCTCCTAAGGCTTTGAGAAAAAAAGATGGTACACCGATTCAATTAATTAAGACACATAAGAAATCTGCGTCTCCTGCACCAATTACAGCGATGTCCCGACAAAAATCTAGAGATTCTGTGAGAAGTTCAATTTACAGTTCTCCAGGTTCGCCTGGATCCAATGCAGATGCTTCTAGGATTATACGCAGACATTCGAGTAGTTCATTTTCCAGCGAAGATGAGAATGATTCTGATATGGAAGATGACGAGGAAATTAAAGAAAAAGTTAGGGAAGTTAGAGAAGTCAGGGCCATCAGACGGAAAGCAGACACATCTTTAGATACAATCAAGAAAAGGAGGAAAGAAAAGGACGACAGTCATGATATTGATCATAACGAGGCACAGTTTAATAAGCTTGTTGATAGTGATGACGACAAATATGACGATTTTAAAACTTTTACGGTTAAAAAGGTTGACCAAGTCGTTGAAATTATTTTACACTGCAACGATAAGGATAATGTATATTTAAAGATTGAGGTGGGTATTTTGTTTTATGATTGTTCGTGAATAACTAATAACGAATTGTTGTTTTACTAGATGATGCAAGAGATTTCAATAATATTGAAAGAGTTGGAGCAAGACGCTGATTGCAATGTAGCATATATTACATCGTCGGGTAATTCGTTTATGAAAGGAATCAAGTATAAGTCATTAGTGGCGCAAAAGGAAGTCACCAGAAAAAATCTTGCGAAGAAAATGGCTACAAGTGTCAGGTATATATTTACATAGGCTAGTTTACTATTGGAATAGCTTGACTTAAATGATTTCTTCTGTTTAGGGATTTCTTGCTGGCCCTGGCTAATTTCCCCAAGCTAATTGTAGCTGGTGTTCATGGAAACAATATTGGCCTGGGCGTTACTATGTTACCTTTATTCGATATGGTTGTTTCGAACAGCTCTGCCACATTTCATATACCCAATGCTGACATCGGCTGCATGGCGGAAGGAGGATCTCTATTATTACTTCCACATCTGTCGCAAAATGTTCTCGTGAGTATAAATTAGCAATGACAGCAACATTTCCAGATTGACTAAATATAATCGTCTTTGCAGATTAGCGAATTACTTTTCGTTTCTCAAAAATTGGAGGCATCTGAGGCTTTAAAGTTAGGATTGGTGTCCAAAGTTCTCGAGACGGAAACTTTTGAAGAGAGCGTCAACACGCTGCTAACAATATTATCCACAAAATCAGCACAGGTATTTAATTAATTAATTTACCTTTTTTTATACAATCGCTTACTAAATTACCATTTTCAGTTCATGGAAGCCACCAAAAAGCAATTGAGAAATCGTATGATCCCCGATATTACAGCGGCTTTGAATTCCGAGACTGAAAATCTAGTGCAACAATGGATAAGTTCAGAATGTCAAAAGAATTTTTCCGATATCTAACATGACATTAATAATTCGTCAATGGGATCATGGTACAAAGTAATATTAATATTCCATAACAATTTTTAAAATTGAATATTTTTATATATATATATTTGCAAAATAAGAGTCGTATAATGGTAATGCAATTTTATGGAGTATCAATATTATGTCATTTTACATTTACTTTAAGTCTGTCTGAGATACGCGTTGAACGTATCCCGCATATAAATATATACGTTGTTATTGTTTGCACATCTTTAAATTGTTTAAAAAAAAATATTAAGAAATTGTTTTCAATTGATTTCCTTTCATTTATATGTACAATTTCATAGTTTTCTTTTTCGACATTAAACTAGAGTTTGTAAATTTCGTTTTCCCTTTTTATTTTTACTTTAGTTACTGCAATTGTGCACACTCGTGCGACCGTTCACATGTACATAAATAGTAAATAAAAGAAAACACTGTAAAATCCGTTTCTGTTTCCAAAAAAAAAAACAATCGTTAGTTTCATTATATATATATATATAAATATATTAAAAATTAAAGAGAAATCTTGTAAAAGCGTGTTCTAATCAAATTTAATACTGTTTTATAAGAAATATTTTATAAGTTAGAATTTATAGTATAGTTACAGAAGAAATAAAGTACGTTTCTGATTGATGTTTTCGTGGTTTTAATATTTTTCTTTTTTGCAGATAGTAATACATTGGGAATTTGGGTTGCAGACATTAGAATTGCAAGCAAGAGTTCACATTTATAGTTTATGAGAACAATAAATAGACTCCAAGAATTCTCCAAAGAATTTACAATAACAATATACAAAATCAATTAAAACTGATTATTGACAGTCAATCAAATTGAAATATATTTTAAAGCCGACTATATAATTATGATTTTTTTTATTAAAATAACGAAAATTAAGCTATTAAAATATAGATTTTTAAATAGTTTCATTGTTATTTGAAGGTATCTAAGAGAAAGAAATCATATTCATTCAGCTGCATTTGCTTTTCCTTGTTCAGCTTTATTTTGTTGTTTAAATTTCAAGAAGATTTCATATCTGATTTCCAGCAGATTTGAAGAGATATACAGTTCCAATCTAATGAAGATTGTAGAACAAAGAAATATACAAAATAAAGCTTTAAAATATTTATTTCTTGAACCAGAAAGCAGAGAAAATGAGATGCAGAGATGAGTTTCGTTATGATTAAATTTTATTTGGGTTGGTTGGTTTTTGTAGTGTAAGAAGGATGAATAAATAAATTAGTAGTTGCTATTGTATATTGTTATAAAACAAAACATTGATATAAACAATCAAATAAGATGAAATAAATACGACGCATCCTGAAAGAGATCCATTAACAGCGAGTTACGATCTATCATGTAGATAAGCAAACAAGGATGCAGGTTTTAGGGCAGTATAGACGGTAAAATGAGATCATTTTGGGACTTAAGCTAACTTAATAATTACATAATACTGATGAATACTATTTGTAAAATAAATACTGGTATTGGCACCACTTTAGAATCGGGTATTTTAATTTATAGTTAATCGACCCGATTCGGTATTTCGAATAGAATTACTCATGGAATGCGGAGAAACAAGGATTAATGCAGAGCGGAACTTTGCAGGTGCTGCAAATGATTTTGGTGCGTTTCTCGACCTTCCTCGAGCTGCATTTGCGACAACGCCTCCAGGTTTTAACCGTTTCGGGAAAGTGTGAACCTAACTGCACCTTCCTTATCTCATCCGGAACCGATACAACACCTCTTTTTTGTGGCATGTAGAAGACGGGAGCAATTTCTTTCCTCTTCCTCGAGGCGTACGTGGCAATCAGCAGCCTGGCGAGACGTATACGGAATGCTAACTGATTCCTTGTGTTGTTATGGCAGAGGGAATACAGGGCGAATGCATTTGAAATGGCAAGATCGAGCAAGAAATGGAATATCCTGTGCCACCATTTCATTGTTACGCGTCCAATTGCGTACGACTCTTTGCGACGATCGAAGCGGTTGAGGCTTCCGATGACGTCGCTGTACATCTTGATTACCTTTGGTAAAGCTGTTACTGTTTTATAGTCGCCAACTCTGCGAGAGATGCAAGAAACCTTCTTGACGTTGGGTACTGTGGAGAGCATCACAATAGGTTTATTGTTATCGACCAATTTGATGGCAGCAACGCAGCATTTTGCTGCATACAAAACTTGCTCCTTTTGCAAATCGCTTGTGTCCTTCAGAACTTCGATACTGTTAGGCGGAACGGCGCCACAAGAAAAAATATTTTTTACCAGTAACTTCTTCATTAGACTGTACGAATTTGCGCTGGTGTTGAGCGCCACTACGCAGTTGCTTCCTTTTAAAGGATCGCAAAGATCTGCAAGTGTAGATAAGCAAACATCTTGATTACTTCCAGGGCATATGTGTATTTTCATTATGTAGTTGCTCTGAGAATCAGCAAGACACCAAGTCCTATACTTTACCGGCCACAGTTGTTTTTTCTGGCATTTCTGATCGAAGTGAAAGGTGCTTTCGTTGAGACCGATGAAACTCGAGGGCTCGTAAAGTTCCAAGAAGCGCTGATTCAAATGGTCTAAGAGAGGTCTGATTTTATATAACTTATCGTAGTTCGGTTTGCCTTTGGGTACTACTTTACTACTAACATTAATATGTAAAGATTCAGTTATTTTCTTAAAACGTTTATAGGACAACACTTCAGCAATTGATTGCACCCGGAGCGCCGGGTCGGTGCTCCAGTAATTGTCAATTAATGGCAGTTTATGAATACCCATTAGAACTAAGCAACCCAAGTAAGCGCACATCTCGTCTTTGCTCACCTCCACAAAGACAGCCGGAGAATCTTTCGTTTGCTTCTTCGACTCTTGCTTACCGTATAAATTCGTTTGATCCACTATATTCTGTATAACTTCATCATCGAAAATCTCTTTGAAGAAAGTCAATTCGCTACTTTCTGTACTCAAAGACCCTGTGTATACGGCGTAGCGTTTCGAAGCCATACGATTTCCGCTGCTCTCGGAGTTCTCGTTATCATCATCGAGCGTCCATTCATCATCCGGATCTTCATCAGAGTCGTAACCAAATACTTGTTTATTCAACAGCGTATTGTGTACTTGATGCTCCGCTAGATCTTCGTCAGAAGATAAACAAGAACCTTCCTCCTCCACCTCTTCTTCAGAATTGTTCTCATTGTCTGGTTCTTCTTCTGAAATATTCTGTTTCTCTAATTCTTCCTCTGTATTATTTTGTTTATCTGGTTCTTCTTCTGTATTACTCTGTATTTCTGGTTCTTCTTCTGCATTGTTCTCAATCTGTGGCTGAGTCAAGATCAATTCGGTGACCTTCTCACTGGCCAACATCTAAAATATAATATAACTCACATCTTCACTCATTCAATTTTCAATTATTTGTTATTGTTCATTTACCAGAACTCTATTACTGTAGTAAAAAAATAAATTAATTGTGAAGACTTAACTTCAAATCATAGTAAATTATACAAAATAACTTTTGTCTTGTAACCAATCAAATAACTACTGTAAAAAGAAAGAATAAGTTAATTCTATCTGCAATATCAATATTCTGAAATATGCATACAGAATTTTATAGTACCCTAGTGATTACAAATAAATGTTAAATGGTTAACATTTGAAATACCTCAAGTTGATTTTCTTCAATGGTACTACATGTTGGAGTGGCTTCCAACTGAGGCTCATCACTGAATAGGATATTGTACTCACAATCCTCCTCATCATTCTCACCAGTGCAATTGCTGGGTGAGAGTTCATCCAAATTGATGCTCGCTTCCAAGTCAAAGAAGTAATCTTCACATGAATCACAAGCACTCAGCTTAAAATCAAGACTGCTGGCTGCAAGAACACTTGTAATTAGTTACATACAAAAAAAAACAAAAACACACAAAAAATTTCCAATTTACTTAAGTGGTTTAGAGTTTCTTCTATTGGTGTAGCCTGTAATTGGTCCTCATACATTATTCTATATACGCAATTAGAATCTACGATATATTATAAATAAATAATCCTCTTGGTTTATATATCCTTAACCTTAAATACAATACAAATCATGCAAATTCATGTATTAAAATTGTTTTTAGATGATTAGGGTAATGTAGTATTTGTTGTTTAACGAACTTACAAGCTGATACACTGTTCGTAGATTAGTTGCAAGTTCTAGTATTCTAGTATACACAATTTGTGTTTACTATTAAGCTAATTGTTTGTGTTACAGCTTGACAGTTCTAGGAACTATTGGTTGCCTACAACAGATCGTATTGGGAAGAATGATTCAAATCATCAATTTACCCCCTGCATCACATATAATCTGATACGATAGTGGCGAGTTCCAAATAGAATAAAAATACATTGCATTTAATAAGTGTATAAATGGTGGCAGAAGTAATCATTAAAAATTGATTAAAATCAATCAATTTTTAATGATTAATTAAAATAGTTGACGTATTATTAATAATTTAATTAATATGAAAAATATATTTTTCAGGTATTTCCTCCTTTCTTGGCAGATGCGACCATGCTGATTTCCAGCATTGATATGTTTATCATTTAATAAATCTTCATTTGCTAAGGAAATTAATTCTTTATCATCACATTTCGCTGAATTCCGAGACTCATATCCTTCGCACATATCTCTCAGTTATGTTCGTCCTAGTACTTAAAGTACAAGCAATTACAAAATACGCAATGTTTTGCAATTGCTTGTACCAAAGTATCGTATTTGAATTTCCACTAATTGTGAATGAATGAATTACCATATTTATTGCAAACTAGTAACAAACTGTTGATTTTGCAGTAAAAAAAATCTTCACTCCAAAATCAATACGTTTCAGATGAGCGCTGACGAATTCTTGAAACCTGTCACATTTAATTGAGGGACACTTTCGTACGCACAACGTAAGCGCTTTCCGTTTATATAATTAAACACAGAAAATGTATATATAATAGAAGGATTCGCCGCAATTTGCCTTTTTTTTTTCACTCTTCATCATCATTGTTTCAGGAACATTAGGATATAATGAGTCTCACATTTTTTTGCTATCTGA